GTAAATGATCCCCTAAAAATACAATTCGTAACCTAAAGATTTAGTTATTAGGTTACCTGTTGTATTTGTTGATGATCATTTAAATTTGTGCCATTAAAAAATATAACATCAAAATTATATTTCTATTTTTATATTTTTTTCAAATCATGTATGCTGCAAAATGAGCCGATGCTCATCACACCACGCTCATACTCGTATACAATAACTACTCCTATAATAATGAAGAAATGAATGATTAGAGAGAAAAAGATTTGTTTATATAAATGGGTCCGATAAATTACTCTATGTAATTTGTATCCACGGAGCACCCCCACTAGAGTCCGCATACAAGGGCAAGCGCTTACGCAAACCTTAAGTAGTATTTTACCTATGCGTGAGGCACGCCTACAGACGTCGCGATACATCGTTTAATTCGGTAACCGAGCGTTGGTCGAACTGCTTCTCTCGTTTTCGTGTTAAAAAACTGTAAAAAATGCCGCACTGTGCAATTAAATTGTGTGGAAAGTCGAGTACAACTTCCAGTCTTCAAAAAAATGGTATTACTTTTCACTGGTTAGTTTAAATGTATTACAAAAAGACAATAATACTGTTATATTAAATTGCTGTTAATTGTATTTATTTTTTGGTGAACGCGTTGATGTCTTTTTACACTATCCCTTTCTCGCATGGGCTACATCATTATGCTATCTCGCTCTCACACCGGCACGTGTATTGCTAGTGACTCAGACGCAGCTCATGTCTCAACGCGTAAGTTTATCGATAAGTTTGTCAGCTATGGAAATGGAAAAAATAAATAAAAACTATTTATTTCATCGTATACAATAATAGATGTCATAAGTATACAACCAACACTTTTTATTTGACTTCAAACTTATCCTAATAAAATTGAAAAAATGCGAAAATTTGTATGCATATTTGTTACTCTTTCACGCTAAAACGGTTAAACGGATTTGTATGAAATTAAGTGCGCATAGTTTATGACCTAGATAAAGACATAGAATTAACGATATTAAATACCTTAGATACACCACGAGCGCTCAAAATGTGTCCCAATCAAGAAGTGCTTGCACTCCACTCAAGCACTTCTTAGTACACAGTCACACGCGGACCGTTGAAAAGTCAAGATGCCCAAGAGTTCCGTGAAAAAATGCAGAAAAATACTAAAAGTACGTAAAGTGTCGTTTTTTCGACGGGTATTGTTAAAATTTTATTGTTGTAATACTTACTATAAACTGATTTAATTTAAAATATTTGTGATATTCAAATGCATGGTCGGTTATACGTCGCCCTTAGCCATCTCTTTTCTTCGCGGTCTGTACTTGCTATATTGCTAACAGCGCATTCAGAATTGCGAGTGAAAAGTCAAAAAAATAAGGTCTATATTCTTTCACATATAACAATAAATCGTAAAATTTTACGAACTTGACGCATGCATTTTAATTAAGACCTTATGCCGTATGCATTAAAGGTGATTTTCAATGTTTAAATAAGGCATTATATTGTTTTTGACCACGCAATCATCTTACGGACCTCCGTGGATCGTCCAATGTACCTTTTGGACACGTTTCGGCCACGATTTTGTTCGTGTTGTTGTATCTAGAGTAGTTAATATCGTTGCATTAATACTTCTTGTCCTGGACGTGTTTTTTTTTGTGTTGCTTATATATAATTTAGTATGTAGTTACTAGTCGCGTCATGTAATTAGAACGCTGGAAGAAAGTGGAGAGGGTATGATTACGCATTTGCGCACCACTACTAGGCCTCTATTCTTATTATTTTATTTAAATTGTTTATCGATAGAAAATATCGATATTTTCTAAAATCGATCTTACCCTCATCACTTCGCTGCACTGAGTATATGATCTGACCTTGACGCGACCAATCATAGCGGGGCTGACCTCCCTGCACCCCACCGACTTTGGCGATTTTGATTCCAAACAAAATTTGTGTGATGCGGACTCTAGTGGGGGTGCTCCATGTTTGTATCTTATGTTAAGTGACGGTGGAGTCCAGACGCGAAGATGATGAGATACAGCAGTGAGCAGTGTAACCTGCCACACCAGCCATCCTCAACTTGCCGGCCTGCACATTGCTTTTTATTAAATAGACTTTTGACGTAGGTTTTGTAGAATCGTAAAACAATATCGTTTTGATATTAAGAAAATAATATTAAATAAAAAGATAAAGAACAAAGTAAAAATCAACGCGGTATTAAATACTTTTAATAATAACCACAATAACATGTGATAATGCATCACAATAACACATTTTTTTTTAAAGTAAAATAATGGATTTTCCAGCTCATTTGCAAGGTCACCAATGCCTCCTCCATACCAAAGTCCTCATGTATAACACATTAGTATTACTTAAGTTACAGGTTGCTATTGTTTTTGTTCATAAACAATCTAGCTTAAATTTTAGACACAGTCAATTTTGCATTCGCCTTTGTAAATTTAAATGAATATTAGTTTATATGAACCTTTTTTTAATGCTGAAATGACAGAACACAGAAAGAGGTGAACTTAAGTAAAATACATAGAATTCGATAGCTGTTACTAGCCATGAACAGTTTGTATAGAAACAAAAATGCAATTTCCCTTATAATATTTTTGAAATCTACCTGTCGTACCCTTAGCACGAACCAATATCGAATTCGTAACGTTTGCGAGTCCTTCAAATGTATACTAATTTTGAGTTCTATTTACGTACTTTGTAGCACTGCTGTTAAAATTTCCATACAAAATTTGACAAACAATTCGCACTCGCAAACTATGCGAATTCGAAAATGGTTCATGCATGGACGGGACAGGTAAATTTCAAAAATATTATAAGGGAAATCGCATTTTTATTTCTATACAAATAAATCCCAGTCTACGTAATTTCGTCTTTTATGTTTTCCTTCAAGTTTTCACGCAGACAACACAACCATTTAATAAATTTAGTCAGCGACCGAACACTACCTTCTGCTGTAAAGGATCCGAAATATCGAAAATAAGGTATAAAACTCAAGCTTTAGGCCGGTGTTTAATTAAATCAACCTGTAGCATATCGTAAGCATACTAATTAATTTAAAATAACCACTGTCTGCTATAGTTCAGTGTGCTGTGTAAGTTTATCGAAGAATAACGTAGATAACTGAGCGTGTACTCGCAAAATGCTGTGACTACAGTGTGAGGTAATATCCAACTTTGATACTTATTATTTACTTACTTTTTTCTTAATTAAATATAGGTGTGTAATGCTAAAAATTGGTCCGAAATTACGTATAAAGATACTGAGAAGTAGATTTTCAAAATTTTAAATCGAAAATTCCCTACATATCTATGATGGATCTTCTCAAAGTGTGCGATTATCCGAATATGATTAGCTTTTAAAAAATCGAAATCCTATACAGATCACGAATATTCAATCTCTGATCCAACGAAAAATAGGAAAGACTTGGCAAACTGCACTCGTCTATGAGTTTTATTGTTTACATTTAAGTCGGCATTTTACTTGGCTATTCGTGTTTGCTGTTTGTTAACTTCACATCCGTCTCTTCATAGTCTATTCTCTTTATTCCTTATAAAGCATGATAAAGACTGACTCTTATCAAGTTTTCGAATTGCAAATACGAATAGCCAAGTGAAATGCCGGCATTATATAGGTGAAGCTCACATTTCAATAATTACACTATAATTATTATTATTACTCTTGGATTCACACTGCTAAATCATTTACAGAAAATATGTTGTACTAATTATACTACTGCCGTGAGAATTATGACGTTCAATAGAATATTTCATAATGACTATTTTTCACACATAAAGCAAGTCATTTTAAAAAGAATATGAAGAAAAAATGCTTTAAAAGCAAACAACTGCAGGTTTACATATATTATTATTTAAGTAACAATCGTTATTGAAACTATTATATTCGTGGCTGTTTGAACATAGATTGTTTTCCTTCGTTTTGTGTTATATTAAAAAAAATCTTAAAACTTGAATTTAGCAGGAAGTCAGTGCAGCATTAATTATTATATTTTAAAGTACTATTACGTAAAAATTAACATCACAAAGCCTTAATTCAGAAGAACTTTTTTAGGCACGTTTAATTATCTCTTATCTATTAGACAAGTCCGGCCGTCCGTCCGTCTGTGGTACTGTTTCAGCGGCCAAACCGTAAGAGATAGATAAAGAGAATGTTTAAGTTATAAGTTAAGAATAGTCTGATAAGACTACAAACCGGATTTGAGTAACATAGCACTTCCAGTTTTCGAGAAATCAGGAATTTCAAACGAAACCACACAAAATCTCCGAAGTTCTCAATTAATTCAATACATTTTTTTTTTAATCAGGTTTTGGTGAACATTTGGTTCACTGGTTTGCTAGTTGAGCAATAATGCGTAATGTGTCATTCTCCTTTACACAGGTTTACTCACTATTTAAAGACCTTATTATTTGTTTAAAGAATAACAAATCAATTTTCTGTTATTTTTAAGTTAAAGTGCACTCGATTAGCGTATTTAAAATTCAGAATAATGAGCAACAAAATTAAATTTCAACACGTAAACAAATTACGCCTATAAATAATATTCGAGTTAAACTAAGCCCAATGCGCAATAAGACGTTAAATTGAGTGCGGCTGGACTCCGACTCCGGAGCCGTGCAACTGTCTCGCTTCCGCACGCGGTATTCGTAATCCATCCATTCGCTTTACTCTTCTTCAGTGAAGTGTGTGAACTAGAAAAGTACTGAACTAATTGGGACCCGAAAGAAGGAGATATACCTGCTAAGTGAACTAGTCCAATAGAAGAATTCATTCACGAACGACAACTCTAAATCAAAGGAAAAAATGCTTATATTTTGTTAAATATTTGTGGTTGGGATTTAAAGTTTGCTCACAAAAAATATAATTAATGGTAATAATAGATTTTTTTATAAGATACTACAATTGTAGGATCAGTGTATATTAATATTTTTAAGTTAGCAGAAATACAATGGTTTTTATTTTGGTTTCAGGAGAACCAGATCCTTGAACGCGCCATCACCTATTCAACAGTTTGGACCATGCGGCAGGATAATGAAGAACTCGGCGATGGTTATGTAAGTTTTTTCTTTTATTATTTAAAAAACAATTTAGAGAAGCAAATAAACAGTTATATACCGTGAAAAAAAATGATCAAAATTATTAAGGAAGTTTCCGTTATAGATTAATGCTTATAAGTTTTTATTAAGGTTTTCCTTTTTTTTAAAAGCTACCATATTGAAAATTTCCAACCAAGCCTTCAACAATTGGCTACACTCACTTGAATTGATGACGACCTCCGTGGCCGAGTGGTTTGTACGCCGGGTTTCATGGTGTCGTCGACTCCAGAGGTCCCGGGTTCAAATCCTGGGGGCAGATGTTCGTGTGATGAATACGAGCATTTGTACTCCAGTCATGGATGTTTAATATGTATTTCTATATAAACATACTTTTATACGTACAGTATATGTATTCTATCCGTTACGCTAGCATCCCATAACACAAGCCTTACAGTGCTTACTTTGGAGCTAGGCTAATTAGCGTGTGATTAAAAAAGAATGTATTTTTGGTTTTAAGTCTGAACGTAGTTAACAGAGCGCAGTTGAAGAATGTTAAAGCAAAAGTTTTTTAAAGCAATATGTGTAATATATATTTTCATTTTTCCTCTTTTTAACCGACTTCAAAAAAGGAGGAGGTTCTGTGTTCGACTGTATATTTTTTCTTCATTATGTTCAGTTCCGTCAATTGTGGACTGTTTCCAAATTTCTTTTTTTATTCGCAAGAGTGCACTTCCGAGGTGGTCCCATTGGAACCAAGTCAGAATCTGTTGGAATCCGGGGAAATCGAGGGAAACCTTCAAATGTCAAAGGCACGCACGATGTTTTTTTATGCATGTTCACCGATTTCTCCGTCAATTGTGTTATTGTTTACTTAGACGGTGTAATTTATTTTAAACAAAAAATAAAACCGACTTCAAAATCGAAAATGGAACTAACTTAAAAATAATATCTGATTCATGATTTAGAAGTCGGGCGGGGTCGAGATTGAAACATTAAATAGATTTTCGTTTCTGATCGGTAATAATACGTCTTATAGTTCCATTTACGATTTTGAAGTCTGTTTTTTTTTATTTTTTTTTATATTCTTAACAATAAATCAAACAACTAGTTACGTACGAGTGTCACTACCACGTTTTTTTATGCACAAGCCAAAGTTGACAATTCTAGCGCGACCGCCGAGCGAAGCTACGAGAAGTGAAGTACAAAATACATGAGATTACCTTCTGTACTATCTATTTTGTGGTATTAGTTGAAGTCATGCAGCTAATTTTGTCATGTTTTAAGTAGTCATTACATAAGATCAACGCACTCAAGTTCTTTGTTACGTTTATGTTATGTATGGGATTTTTAACTTAAGTCACTTTGTACGAGTGCGTTTACGTACATGACCTCTTGTTTGAAAGTCTAAACGCACTATCCTGTACCGATATATAAAAAACACAGTACCCAAACCTAGAACAACGCCAAAAACTGTTTTGCGTGCTTAACGAATTAAAGAAGCCTTAATTATGACCGACTGATGGGAGCGATTTGTACTTTAAGTACTTTTGGGGTCATTAGAGCTGATTTTTGCTGTCAGTTAGTTTTCTATAGGAACCTAAAACTCGAGAGCTATATGTATAGTGGACACTCTAGGCACAGTCTAATTACTCCGCGCAACATAAAAAATAATTTATTTGTTTCTTAGGTTTTCACGCACATCACTCATTAAATAAAACTAGTTTTTAACGGGTTAATGCACGAAACTTTAGTTACTTATTAACGTTTCGCAGCCTTTTCAGGTCTGCTTAGTCAGAAATTAAATAAAAAATCATAATTCTGACGAAGCAGACCTGAAAAGGCTGCAAAACGTCAATAAGTAAATAAAGTTTCGTGCATTAACCCGTTAAAAAACTAGTTTTATATAACAAATAATTAATAAAACCTACTAACAATATATGTGAGAAAAAAATATGTTCTATTTTTTGCCGATGTTGTGGAACAAAAAACTTCTTGCTACGCAAATATAAAAAATGACCTTTTCATTTAATGTCATGACCATAATTAAGGAATTATTCCAAAGCTATTTTAAGTCTATTCAGAGATTATGTTTTCTTTTTTGCCTACGTCATGCCATTTTAGTGTTATTTCTCATGCATCACCCGGAGTTTAGCCTGCTTTCGTCTCCTTTATCTTTATACATATTAATGCTTATATAACGGTTTCAGGCAAATCCAAGACCCGGCGTCGCAACGGTTGACTTGGTACAAACCTCCCCTGACGGTGTTAGTCATCAAGAAGGTGCACGACGCTACCATTCTGGCGCCATTCGTGCAGCTCGTTCACTGGCTGGTGCAAGTAAGTTACTCGCTATTCAAAAAGTCTGTGATCTGGGGTTCTGAAATAGCTAGAGTGCATGTTTTATCATATTGGTACTTGGTACATCCCCCCTGCCGGTCGGTGTTAGTCATCAAGAAGGTGCACGGCGCCACCATTCTGGCACCATTCGTGCAGCTCGTACACTGGCTGGTGCAAGTAAGTTACTCACTATTCAAAAAATCTGTGTTATTGGGGTCTGCAATAGTTAGAGTGCATGTTTTATCATATTGGTACCTGGTACAACCCCCCTGCCGGTCGGTGTTAGTCATTAAGAAGGTGCACGGCGCCACCATTCTGGCACCATTCGTGCAGCTCGTACACTGGCTGGTGCAAGTAAGTTACTCACTATTCAAAAAATCTGTGTTATTGGGGTCTGCAATAGTTAGAGTGCATGTTTTATCATATTGGTACCTGGTACAACCCCCCTGCCGGTTGGTGTTGGTCATCCTGAAGGTCCACGGCGCCACCATTCTAGCGCCATTCGTGCAGCTCATACACTGACTGGTGCAACTAAGTTACTCGCTATTCAAAAAATCTGTGTTATTGGGGTCTGAAATAGTTAGAGTGCATGTTTTATCATATTGGTACCTGGTACAACCCACCTGCCGGTCGGTGTTGGTCATCCTGAAGGTGCACGGCGCCACCATTCTGGCGCCATTCGTGCAGCTCGTACACTGACTGGTGCAAGTAAGTTACTCGTTATTCAAAATGTCTGTGATCTGGGGGTGTGTTATAGTAAAAGTTCATATTTTATCATATTGGTACCTGGTGCAACCTCCCTGCCGGTTGGTGTTAGTCATCGAGAAGGTGCACGACGCATCCTAGCGGCATTCGTGCAGCTCGTACACTGGCTGGAGCAATTAAGTTACTCACATTAAAAAAAAAAAGGTGATAAAGGGTTCTGAAATAGTGAGATTTGTAGTTGTATCATATTGGTACCTGGTACAACTGCCCCCCAGCGGGTCTGGTCATCAGAAAATGCACGACGCCAGCATCGGAATCTTGGTTCTTTGACGGAACCCTAGGGTGGGGGCAGACTAGCATACTAGTGCTTGCCCTGTTTTATGTGTTTGAAGTCTTTTAAAAATATTTTAATTTTATTCATCAATAAATCTATTCAAACAGGTTGAAATACAACACACAGGTCATGATTTCAATCGTTATACTTAAACTACCTAATACTTGCTAATCGAAGTAACATTTTGTGTATTTAAATAACAATGTTTTAGTTCTGTTTGGTTGCATCTCCTTGTAACGTCTTCTAAGTCATTTTCTCATGAATGAGGGTCCGTGACCTTTCAGGACAGCACAATTCACCAGCGAACAATGAAATGTATAAAATATTATTTTCATCATTAAAAAACTCATTGGCAGTCTGATCGATCTATACACAGCCTTTACTACTGGGTGCAGGCATGAAATTCTGTACAAAACTTGCACTAAAATAGTAATTAGTTTACTCAAAGACTACTTTTTATCACCCTCTATGAGAATAAGTCAATGCAAATTTGGCAAGCCCACACAGTTACTTTATTATACAGCTTGAGACTTGTTCATATAATGTTCGTGATTAACCTCTTTGATGATTAGAACTATTACTAACAATATCAACATTCTTAATTTCGAAATAACTCCTTAAGAATTACAACGCTATTTTAGTCTCTGTTAAGTAGAACAAACTCTTTTCGAATGGATGTAAAAAAGGAATTTTTAGAAATTCATCCCTTAAAGAGTTATATAACTTTAGAAATATAAAAATTGGCACCTAGGTACTCTAGTCACGGTTATGTATTAAGTAATTGCTTTTTGGAAATTGGTCTCTTAATCTAAGTGATTAAATGGGGAATGAATATTTGGATAAAACACCGTTCAGTCAGGGTGGTTCCATTGATATTGCTAAAAAGAAATTATTAATTTATGACACGAAGAAAACATTCATTTTTATTTCCAGTTAAACGTATATGTATCTACTCATCCGTTGTAATACCATCCCATTGAATGGCATTCACATTACCATATTAAGTGCAATGAGTTATGTAAGATGCGCGTGAAATCCAACCAAAAACCTTTTAAAAGTATTTTCAATATCATTTTTTTTATGGATTTAATGTATAGTTATTGTATGTATAATTTTTGTACGGCCTTATCGAATGCTCATCGGAAATGCAGGTCACACTGACGTCAATGGTTTTTATTAGGAATCGATTACTTGTATCATTCAATGTTAATTGGCTAGCAACGAACGTCCAAGAACTTACCAAATCAATTTGATGCCGTGTATTCTTAATTTGGTTTTCCTTTTTAATTATACTTTTTTAGGGTTCCGTAGCCAATTGGCAAAAAACGGAACCCTTATAGATTCATCATGTCCGTCCGTATGTCACAGCCACACAGCCGAAACTATAAGAACTTCTAATATCATTTTTTTCTAAGCTGAATAGTTTGCGCGAGAGACACTTCCAAAGTGGTAAAATGTGTGCCCCCCCCCCCTGTAACTTCTAAAATAAGAGACTGATAAAACTAAAATAATATATGATGATGTATTACTATGCAAACTACCACCTAAAATTGGTTTGAACGAGATCTAGTAAGTAGTTTTTTTAATACGTCATAAATCAGAAATCTATGAAAAAAAACACTATTATTAAAACATCGATCAAAGTTACAACGAACTACAAGTACTTTTATGTTATGTTACTTGCTGCTACGGAACCCTTCATGGGCGAGTCCGACTCGCACTTGGCCGCTTTTAAGATCAAGGTATCTACACAAAGAACATTATAGCAGAAGTTTAACTTATGCCGCAAGTAGTGCCTTAAGTTTTTGTATAGCCTATTATCTAATGTCCACAGTGCTGGGGCACAGGTCTTCCTTATTCCTTATGGATGGAATAGGGAGATTGGGCGGTGACCCACGACGCGGCCCCAGTGCGGATTGGTGGGTGCTAACGACTGCAGATGGAGCCGGGACCAACGGCTTCCCGAAGCCTTCCGAAGCATGGGGGAGCTCAAGATAATAAGTTTTTGGTCACCCGTCCAATAACCGACCATTGCAAAAGTTGCTTTACTTCCACGATCGGGCGCCGAACACGCTAACCACCTGCGCTATTGAGCCCCTCAATAATTTTTTGTATGCTTAATGAGAATCAACCATCAACCTTTGTATCATAAAACGCTGACATTTTTATGCGAAATGCTGACGTCATATGAACTGGTGTCATCCACCACAAACAAAAACTATATAAGTTTCTTTCCTAACATGATTTTTTAGTGCAATCCAGAAGTGTCCGTCAAGTTGATTGCTGTAGTTGTTGTTGAGAAATTACTATGTAAATGCCTATAATTTTCAAAGGATTCCCTCGATTTCTCCAGGATATATCATCGTTAGATCCTAATTTGGTGAATATGGGAAGTTTCCATATCGAGTGTGTTCCAATTGGGAACACCTCAAGAGCATTCCCTTTAATTTAAATCTGTTCACAGCTCACTCCTCTCACTCACAGGTATACATTATAGGTAGCGCCAACTTGAACAAAATCACAGACAAAAATAATAATAATAATAAAATACTTGCGGTATCTATATATATAAAACTCAAAGGTGACTGACTGACATAGTGATCTATCAACGCACAGCCCAAACCACTGGATGGATCGGGCTGAAATTTGGCATGCAGGTAGATATTATGACCTAGGCATCCGGTAAGAAAGGATTTTGATCAGTTCTACCCCCAAGGGGATAAAATAGGGAATGAAAGTTTGCATGAAACTCTCAATTTTAAACCGATCGGGCTGAGACTTTGCATGCAGGTAGGTATAAGAAAAATCATAGATGAATGTCATTGTGTATAATACAAGCCTGAGAACAGTAGTTGTAGTCTACACTTCAGCTCTACACCGAAGCGAAGCGAGGGCGGGCCGCTAGTTGTATAGAATACCTGAGTACAGATTGCCCATGTATATATTCCTCGTGTATGTAATATAAACATACACGAGGAATATAGCACTTTCTCCTTTTTTGTTTGACGTCGGTTAAAAAAGGCCTATCATTCAAGGAATTTCTGCTTAAATTCCGTATTCTGAATGAATTTAGTAATAAGATCTTCTTTGTGCTCGCTTATCCCAATTAGTTTTTTTAATCTTTAGACGCCATTTGTTTATTTTTGAGATAATAACTACTTAAATAATCCACAAAAAACCTTTCAACCTATTGGTTAGGCTATTTTTTGATGATCATTTAAATATGTGTGCCTTATATCTATTGAACTAAAAATGTGAAAATTTGCCGTCCCTCTCCAAAAGTACCGGTCACCTGGGGCGGACTGCACGATTGATCAATGTATTCCAACTTTCAGGACAAAAGTATGGTGGTGTTTGTGGAAGCAGCGGTGCTGGATGACGTCCTTCTGAAGGAATACGAGAGTTTCGTAGTGGTGCGGGAGAGGTTGATGACCTTCCGCGCCGGCACTGACGACCTCACAGACAAGATCGACTTCATCATATGTCTGGGCGGCGACGGCACGTTACTGCATGCTAGTTCCCTCTTCCAGGTGATAATTATTGTTTAACCAACCATATTTTTTGGTGAATGAGATAGGTCTTCTTTAAAACCATTAACTGTAGCAAGCAAGCAAAAGAGTTAAAGCAGCCGATATTCGAGTACGAGAATTTCGTGGTAGTAATGGAGAGGTTAATGACCTTCCCCGCTGGCACGGAAGACCTCACAGACAAGATCGACTTTAGCTCGCTATTTCAGGTAATTGCTGATGCTCGGGGAATGTTTAAGCAAATGAGATAGGTCCTTTTTTGAAACTAGTAACTGGTAGCAAGCAAAAAAGGTATAGGTATCTGAAAACTTCTTGAGCAAAATCGCAGACAAATAAAATTGCACAGTGTTTTTTTGTATGAAAAGTTGCTTCGGCGCAGGCTTGCTTGTCTATGCTTTAAAAGATTATTTATTGCTTTAAAAGTTTGCCGGGATGTAAACAAAGGCTGATATATCTCGAGTTCCTCCGTGCTTCGAAAAAAACGTCAAGCCTTTGGTCCCGGCTGCTTCTGCAGTTGTTAACACCCACCAATCCACACTGTACCTGCGTGGCGGGTCATGGCCCATTCTCCCTGTGCAGTAGAAAAGTAGTACTTTATGTTTCATACTCTGCCAAGGGAATTCTGCAAGCGACATTATAAATCTATTGTTAAAAGAATATGAAGAAAATTGAATACATTATCCCTTTTGACTCTTTTGTTTCAATTCTAAAGACGATAATTAATTAGATAATTAAATTCGAGGATCCATAGAATCAAACACACTCTTTAATTTAATTTTGTTGTCACTAGTATTTATTTCTGTAATATTTTTCTATTACAGCAATCAGTCCCTCCAGTAATGGCATTCCATTTAGGCTCATTAGGATTTCTTACGCCGTTCGAGTTCAATAACTTCCAGGAGCAAGTTATGAATGTTTTAGAAGGTAAGGAAACTCTTTTAATACTTACACTACAAAAAAAGTATTGAACAACATATCTACTAAATGCGGCCAAAAACAGAATGCAATCCTGTCATGATTCGTCGTTAGTTCTTTAAGTGACAAGATTAAAGTACACACAGGTCGGAACAAGAACTAAAGCATAGAAGTAATGATATGACGTTTGAGCGTACACACCCATAGACAATAGATTAACGAAATATTTCCAAACAAAGTATTACGCATCCAAAAAGTATCAGTGGCGTATTGGCAGGTTGCAACATTAGATCACTTTTTGATTCGGTATCGTAAAGGTCTCAGGGCGTCCCAACACTACGTTTACCGAGTCGCGGTCTCCACTCAAGAACTTTACGGCTCCAACGACCGTCAGTTCTGCGGCTAACGTGACCAGCCCACTGCCACTTCAGTTTGCTACGCTTTTTAGCATGGGACGCCCTGAGACAAGATGGCATGATGACATTCGTAGGCTGGCTGGAGTGGGCTGGATGAGAGTGGCAGAAAATCGGGAGCACATAGGTCCAGCAGTGGACGAGCATGGGTCGATGATGATGATGATCGTAAAGGTAACTAAGGTATCAAAGATGTTTGTACACACGCTGTTCAAAGTATGGTTCGTAGTAACATTTTTTTGTCCATTTTTGGTCCTTATGTAAAAAAAATTATAACTATGTGAGTCGACTTTATGAGTTGAATTTAAACTCTTTCCACGCTTTAGTTCTTGTTCTGAGAAAGTACACTTTCGGTCTAGTAATAAAGAGGTCCGTAAATAATTCGGTCGCCATAAGGCACAAACACGACCAGTCAGGATCTCATTCTTTCGTTGGCCGAAATAAAGTCGATATTTGGTTCAATACTTTTTGAACCGTAGTAATATTTTTCTCGAGATTTCCTTTGAATCTGCCATGCAATTTTCGACCTTAAAAAGTGTCAATTACGCTTGCATTTCAGGTCACGCAGCGTTAACGTTAAGGTCGCGATTGCAATGCGTGGTGTTGCGGAAGAGCAACGATATCGGCAAAGACAAGAAGAAGCCTACCACTATATTGGTGCTCAATGAAGTGGTCGTGGACCGCGGCCCTTCACCCTACTTATCGAATATAGACTTATTCCTAGACGGAAAACATATTACCTCGGTGCAAGGCGATGGTAAGTTATAATAATAAAGAAGAAAAAACAATGAAATTGCTGATATAATGGAACATTGTATAAGCCTCGAAAATACAACGGATTTACTATATGAGTAGGTACGTCAACGATATTTAAGGAATTTGAAGATATTGGCAAAGTACTGACTTACGTGTTATGTTATGTTTTGTACAGCCTGTAATAGTTTTTTTATGATATTAGTGTGGTAAGTGGGTTATTACAAACGAGTAGACGAATAAGTCAAGGACAACGATATTAAATACCCTAGATACAACAACGCAAACAAAATCGATTCCGAATCCTGTCCAAAAGGTACATTGGACGATCCACGGAGCACCGTAAGATGATCGCGTTGTCAAATACAATATAAGGCATATTTTAAACATTGAAAGTCACCTTTAATGCGTACTGTATAAGGTCTTTATTAAAACGCATGCGTCAAAGATGTATGACAGTTCGAAATGCAAGATGGTAAAATTTTACGACTTATCAATTTTATACTATATGCGGAAGAATATAGACCTTATTTCTTTGACTCTACGCGCAATTCTGAATGCGCTGTTAGAAATATAGCAGTTACGGACCGCGAGGAAAAGAGACGGCTATATAGCCGACCATGCATTTGAATATCACAAATATTTACTATCAAATCACTTTATAGTTAGTATAAGACCAAAATTTTAAAATAATATGTTAAATAAGCAAACTTTAATTAAATACCTGTCGAAAAAACGACAGTTTACTTATTATAGTATAAGTATTTTTTTTTCTCATTTTTTCACGGAGCTTGCGGTACGTTGACTTTTCAACGGTCCGGGCGCTACTGTGAACAAAGAAGTGCTTGAGTGGTGTTCAAGCACTTCTTCATTAGGACATATTTTGAGCGGACGTGGTGTATCTAGGGTATTTAATATCGCTAGTTGAGGGCTTAACATGTCACGAGTTTGTCAATACCAATTCCTCATGAATGCCATACAACGCTTTACAACACATTTGCGAGAAAACAGTATATGTACCTAATTAAAATAAGGAAGCAAACTTTATTCTAATAAGATATTGATGAAGATCTCCCTATGGCGCCACGTGCGGGTGGTGAAAATTTGAACTACATCTTTCATCCCTTTATATTTTTAATATTAAATTGAGACAAATAGATTAAAACGCTTCCAAGAAGATTCGACCGAAATTAAAAAAAAAACAAAAGATCCGCACGGCGCTAAGTATGGGAGCGAGCAGTAAAATTTTGATAAAATATATTAGTCCCTTGTGTATAAGACTGAATTTCTCTTGAGTGACTGGTCTAATTAGGTATTTTACTGTGTGCATTCGAGTCGGTTAGTTTAGCAAATCACGCGCGCGTATCTACCGCTGCAGTGGGTGAATCGTCTTACATTTACAACTGTTATCTGTGGTTAACTGTTATTTTACTGCGGGATAATATCCCTAATAAACCGCAGGTAACACCGCGGGGCACAGCTAGTAAATTCTTAATTGTTATCGCAATAATATTATTATTTGAACTGTGGTATCAATTCTGGCATGCTTTTCTAAACTTAAAACTGAATTTTACATCAGTCACTCCTTTTCATTCTGTATAGAGAACAACAAGGACAAACTGTTGTCAAAGGAGAATGGTCATTTTACTTTGGGAGTTGGGCTAAGTTTTTTTCATTGCGTCTTATTGGAATAAGTGTACAACAATAGGGAATCAGGTGTATATTGCGTAGGAAAAATATCATTAGAAACTTAAGTGGTGGTTTAAAGAAAATATTAAATTACGTAAGCATTTTAAGGTTATGTCATATTTACATTCGATTAAATTCGATATTTATACCATACTTAATTATTACTAGGTATACTACTTTAAACTGCATTTAATTAGGTTGTGACCTTTTGTCTTCTATTTTGGACTGGGAGTGAAACAGAAATCGAATGCACTTCGTAAAATCTTATCAACGGGCAGCGTATATTCGTAAACTGTTGCGTTGGTGAGCTGCTATCTATCTCTATTTATTCCAAACATCTCAGATTCAATAAATGTGGCGTTGTTGAGGTGCGGTTATATTAGTGCTATTTATACTTATTCTCTTTACGCTCAAGCTGCACCTTTGATGCTCTGTTAACCCAACAATGGATATAATATTATTTAAGGTTTAGGAATCAAAAATAAATAAGACAAAATATTTTAATGATGATAATTATTTATTGATAACACATTTATCCAAATCGACATTATTAATGTGATATTTTTATTTTATATTTTTGGGGTTATGCCGTATCCAGTGGAACTGTAGTGACTTCGCCTAAAATATCTTTTGTAACTCGCCACCATGTCCTGTTGAGTTTGAAATATCCAGTTAAAGCTCTGCTAAGTTCAAATAACACAGCAGTTTATACATTAAGCGTGCTCTAATCCTGGTTTATATATTGCCTTTTTTTTTAAAAAAACGAAGAATTCACTTATATACCCTCTTCAAATACCTCATCTAAAAATGTAGCTGGAGCATGTGTATCGTTAAATCGCCCCCAGCTAAGGTACCAAACTACCGTCATTACGTGTGCGCAACATCCTACTGTCCTTTTGCCTACAATACAACTGCAGCAATAGCCAACTAAACAACTTAGTGAGTTGGCTAAATTGGTGTCACGGCTGACTAAAATGTAAACAAAATAGGTGCGTCCACCAACGTGTCTAGACTTAATACGTCCTCTAAGCAGATAATTGTTTTAAGCCTATAATATGATCTCGCCTGCTTTAACTGATAAGTGCCTAATGCAAAGCGTTTTAAATCAGTGATGCTTAAACTGGGAAAGGTTTCCAAGTGAGGATGATTGATTGATCCAATAATGGCATAAGAAAGGAGCCATTGCAGAAATATTTTCAAAGTCGAAACAATGGGAAACTGCTCTCTGCATTATATTCAAAATGGCATCAAACTGTACACCAGTAAAATCTTGCAGATTTGATGTTAAGTCACTCCAACGCCCATTATTCAAGTGATGTTGACATATTCTACAACATGTGGGAACATAGAATTTATTATGTATTAATAACATTTCTCTTATTACTCTGGGTACTAATAAACGTTATTGTTCCCGGCATCCTGAAAACAGACAACTCGATGAAGTGGCTACAGCACGCTTATATACTGATGACTGTATCTTAGGTATAACAGGTCTTGAAGGCTGAACAGGTAATAAACTAGCGGGAAATGGTGGTGGTACTGGGATCACTGGTACAGACTCTGTTGGTTCTACATCAATTTGTTCAATTGATGACCGATTCGCATCATGTAACTGTTGCCTTTGCACTTCCCTATTAGCTGCTCGCCAACAGGCAGCACAAACTCTTGAAATTCTTGACACCTATAAAAAAAAGATCAGTGAACTTGAATTTAATGAAAAACCATCTATAACTATTTTATGCAATAGAAATATATTTCTTATAATAATAATAATAAATCATTTATCTGACAAGACATGGTAAATTATACAGATCTCAAAAATATAACCAACATGACCTGTCGCTTTTATCGACGTGCAAATATTTATAGGTATTTGCAGTATTATAAAGAACTCAATCTTTAAAAACTATTTAAATTATTTATATACCATAGTCATGTTGAGTTAGTTATTATATAATCAATTTCATTAATACTACATGACAATTGTGCAATGTAAAAAAAAATGTCATAGTCATTTTTCAGTTAGTATTGAAATCAATTTAAATAAATTATTATTAATATAACATTTCAATCATGCAATGCAAAAATAATAATAATGTCACAGTCATGTCTTAATTAGCATTGAAATCAATTTTAATAATTTATTATTGATAATAATATCTTATACCATACCTGATGTGCTGGAGTCCATCTAAGAATAATATTTCTTTCTGGGCAGTGTAGTGAAACCCTGTACGATAGACTTCTTAATATGGATTTTCCACAACCAAAACAGACTTGTTGATGGCCATATTGTGGTGCAGGTACTTCTTCGGTGGTGTCACTAGCTTGTAGTAGCATAAAGCATTCGTTGCACACTATGCCCCCATTCAATATCTATAACAAGTCAAAAATATTTATATTTATTTGAACATGTGAATGAAATTAAAACATTATCTCACGGTTGCGGTTGTATAACGATATATTTTTAGTAATATAAGTAAATAATTACTTACAGAATCAGGTGCGATCCATGAGCTTAAAGCATTAAGCATTGAATTGGATAGCATGTCCAAAGAATGTACTGGCTGTCGTCGTGGCACTGATATACAACAGTTAATACAACGTCGTTGCATACTGCCTGCGTTTTCTTGTGTAACACCAGATGCCATTGTAAACAAAAATAATTACAATAAACTAAGAGTCCAAATATCTCTGCCAGAATCACTAAAGGTAACTTAACACTAAATCAACGAGTCCAATTCTCTCTTTCCCAAAAAAACAGTTATTAACGGAGGATTACTCAACTCAACATTAAAACTATTCTGCCACAATAGACCACTGAAAACACAAATTCAATTCAAAATTGAAAACTGTTTGTAGTTAGTCACTCGGAACAAACAAACACGTTGACAACAAGTTGACAGCTACCTACTTCACTTGCCTATGGTATATATTTCGATTTGATTCTATAGGAATCGATTCCTACACAATCGATTAATAAATGTTTTATTTTTCAATGCAAATGCTTAAAATGTTCAAACCATGAGTTAATTTATATATGATTAAGTAATTATATATAACATAACTGATAATTTAAACAAAAATATATTCCCTTTTTTAATCTAAGAGTACTGCATATAAAAGTTTTTGTATGCGATCTACTATTTGATGAACAAAATAGTCAGACAAAAAATCCTCTTTTGCGCAGCCCATTAAGTTCCTTTTAGTTTTTAGATGCAATGAAAGAGAGCAATCCCTGGTAGGTACAGTGAGATAGTCACAACACAGGTCTTACAAATGATAACTTTATGAATTAAATGTTATTTATCATGATTATAATATTGGTAAAAATGTTCGTATCCATCATACAAACATTTGCCTCACCGGAATTTGAAACCAGGCCCTCTGAATAGGCGATTTGGGGAAAATAATCTATCCATCGATCCATACAAAAATCAAACAACTCGCATCGAAGACCTCAAAATAAAAAATGACTACGAATTAACGAATGATCATTATTTCGTAGTCATTTACGGTGTTTGGTAAAAATGTTTCAGGCTATTTACAATTGTTCTATGCTTTCAATTATAATAAACGTTTTATTTTTTCTTTTTGAAGTGAAACTTCTTTACGCACTCTTGACTTGGGGAGTAAGCTAGCGAACGTAAGCGTTAAGAAAAGTGTGATCAGGCGAGGCGAACGGGAGTTGAGTGGGGGATGTAAGCATGAGAAAGCAGTGCGCGTGCACATTTTCTTTCTCTCTTCCTCTCATAGCCAAATACGTTCCGTATATCTAAGCACAGTGCAAGCCTATTGTCTGTATCACAGTGTAGGAGCAAGAGCGCGCGCACGCATTTTCTTTCTCTTTTTCTCTTACAGCTAGTAAATGAAAGAAGTTTCACTTCAGTTGTGTGGTCATAAGCACACTCGTTTTTTTATGTTAAGAATATTTAAATAAAGAAATATAATCGATTTTTTTTCCTACGATAGTATCGACCAGGTGATACAACTTTTATCTATGGTTATTGGTTATTTACTCAGTTTAATAGCCATTTATTTACTATTTTAAATATCCGCATAATATTTACATAATAAACACACATATGAAATGATAATTCAGAAGAAGATTTTTGATACATAAATGCGTCAAGCGCAATCTAGACGGATTTGCCCATTCTCCTTTAGCTTTAGATAATCATGCCAAAATCGACACCAATGTATATATATCTTATTCAATAACTACTCTCATTTTATTTATTTTATTTTTTATTGCTAGATTGTAATTCAAATTTCCACGACTCTGGTCTATGGTAAAAAAAACTGGTTTGGGTTTAAGTTACACCACACTTATGAACTTTTAATGTAATTGTATGATCATTATATTAATAAATAAATAGAAACATTCAAATTAATATTTAAATTTAATAGCGACCGTTACATATGTATTGCATAATAATAAATTAACGTTATGGACCGTTGATACGTGATCGGTTCTATGACTTGTGTTTTCTAATAAAATTCGATCTACTTGAAAACTACGCCAAGCCATGTACGTATAGCGCGTGTCCTCCAGAATTATTATTTCAGTTAATCGATTTATTTCACAAAAGGTTTGATCGTCTCGACGCCGACCGGCAGTACGGCATACGCAGTAGCGGCGGGCGCTGGTATGATCCACCCTTCAGTCCCCGCCGTCATGGTGACGCCCATCTGTCCGCACTCGCTGTCCTTCCGCCCGATCGTGGTCCCCGCCGGCGTGGAGCTCAAGGTAGGCTGGCAACATAACCGTCGGTACAGGGGATTCGATAAATAACTCGTCAACAATAATGCTAAGAATGTACAGCTTACGCAGTAGCGGCGGGCGCTAGTATGATCCACCCTTCAGTCCCCGCCGTCATGGTGACGCCCATCTGTCCGCACTCGCTGTCCTTCCGCCCCATCGTGGTCCCCGCCGGCGTGGAGCTCAAGGTAGGCTGGCAACATAACCGTCGGTACAGGGGATTCGATAAATAACTCGTAAACAATAATGTTAAGAATGTACAGCTTACGCAGTAGCAGCAGGCGCTAGTATGATCCACCCTTCAGTTCCCGCCGTCATGGTGACGCCCATCTGTCCGCACTCGCTGTCTTTCCGCCCCATCGTGGTCCCCGCCGGCGTGGAGCTCAAGGTAGGCTGGCGATTTATAGCCGTCGGTACAGTGTTCGATAAATAACTCATCAACAATAATGTTAAGAATGTACAGCTTACGCAGTAACAGCGGGCGCTAGTATGATCCACCCTTCAGTCCCCGCCGTCATGACGTCTTCCGGCCCCCTCGTGGTCCCCGTCGGCGTGGAGCTCAAGGTAGGCTTGCGACGATATCCTTCTGTAGAGGGGGTTCCTTAAATTAGTCGTCGACAATAATGTTAAGAATGTACGACTGAAGCCTGGTCTCCTGTGCGTGTTTTGTCCTATACAATCAACAAAAACATATCAACGTTCAACAAAATCATCTTCACAAAACTTTGTTTCACTACACATATTTGTTTGCATCAACTAAGTTTTTGCTTTCCGAGCTCGATGGAAAACACGTACACGAATCACCCCCGCGCGGGTCGAGGGGCAGGGTATTGTTTTATCGGCTATTTTAATAACAACTCCCTAGCGGGGTCTGCGTTCCAAACCTACGCTTTTGACATAAAATGTATGAAACTTGACAAATTTAACAAAAAATATAGGAAACTTTTGTCAAATTTGACATTTGTTGTACCTGGATCGTAGGTTTGGAACGCAGCCCTGTGTATTTTGTATACGACAACCACGCGAGAAACATGTTTCAGAAACAAAGTTTTGTGTATGTGTTTTTGTTGAATATTTTTAAATATACTTTTTCTGGAGGCCCGGCTTTACGCAGTAGCGGTGGACGCTAGTATGATCCACCCTCCAGTCCGCACTCGCTGTCCTTCCGCCCCATCGTGGTCCCCGCCGGCATGGAACTAATGGTAGGCTGGCGACATATAGCCGTTGGTAGAAGGGTTCGGCTCAGTTTATTAGTACCAAATATCCGTACAACAACTACATTTGTACTACCTACTTCAACTATCAACAAGTGTCTTCAAATGCAACTTTCTTAAGTTTATTTTCCCGTAATAAATACTTTTATAAAACAAAACACATTATTAAGTCCTTAAGCACCTTTTGGAAAATCAGTAGCCTAGTAAAACACAATTTTATCAATTGAAATACCCACTTTTTAGGTATAATATACAATATCACTTTTTAATAATAAAATGTAGATTTCGTTTACACAATTTTATTATTAGTACAAATCAAAAACATTACACAGTGTTACCATCTGCAAAGTCTAATTAATTCCTTATTTAAATCTATTTTATCCAAATTGTTTAATAAAATCAGTATTTTTGTCATTGATTATGTCGTGGCAGCGTGCGACTAATAAACTATATAAAGTAGAACGTCTATTAACCGAATCGCCAATTATCCGAATCGGTCCTAAGCGTAGGTAATATAAAAAATGAAAACCAAGTTTTTTGTTTTCTTTTATTGTAACAAGTTGGAACTACATGTTTTGCGTCGCGTGGTTTTTGAAGTTATACTTCTTTAGGCGCGTTATGAAAAAATGATGAGAGTGAAATTTTAAGATGCGCGCGCATCACTGTAACACAAAATTTTAACAGCATGAAGTTGGTCAGTTTTCACATTAAGAAAATCTACCAACAACATAGAAATAGAATCTCTATTTAGTGGGTGCTTACGACTGCATTGTGAAGGCCTATCAAAAGTATTTATTAATCTGGAACAACGGAACCAAAGCGCGATTCAGGAGACTACAGCGCCATCTCTTGACCATTGGTGTAGTAGAACCAAAAACCACATCTTTATTTTTCAATGTTACTTTTATGTTATTATTGTAATAAAGTAACAGTTATAGGTATTCATATTTATAATATTTATCCACATGTTTCTAGTTTGTATATTCGGAATACGTGTTTGAGTTTCATACAAGTGCAAATCACATATGTTCTAATAAATTATATTCAATAGCGATTTTAATTGAATATTTTGATTATTTATTTATTTTTTCAAATTAAAACTGAACTTTATTGACTGTGTCCTTTTCCAGACTTTTTATTAATTTATTGTAATTAATTATTTGCATGCAATTAAAAACTAATTTTAAACGATGCCAAAGAAGGATAACTTCTCACGCGCCTACATAAGTACACGCACCCATTTTTTTTTTCCTACTATGTACCTCTATTATTGCATTTAGTATTGTAGAACTGTGTTTGTTAAGTTAATCGGGTTTATTCTGTGTGACAGTTCGTTTTTCTTTATTATCAGTGTATGTCCGATTATCCGAATCGACCCCGGTCCCAATTAATTCGGATAATCGGCGTTCTACTGTACAACAAATTCCTTCCAAACTACAAATCGAATAATCGCCTTGACGGATGACAACTCTACGCTAACAGTATTCTTTACCATTTATCACGTATGTAAATATCGTGTCTTTATTTTTTCTTAATCGTCGGTAGCGTACGTAAAACCACAATGTACCGTTCTAGATTGCACTGTCCCCGGACGCCAGGAACGCTATGTGGGTGTCGTTCGACGGCAGGAACCGGCAAGCGCTCCAACACGGCGATAGGTACAAACGAACACTTGTACATGTACTCTGTTCACGGAAACGAGTCAGTGGGGGGCTTACTTTATCATAAAATCGTTAACAAAACACATAGACATAGAGAATGGACTGAGTACATGAAATAAGAATGATGACTATTTGATTCTGATTATCAAAACATTACAGAGATATATTGATTTGAAATCTCGCATGACGTCACGTCTTGGTACAATTTTTACTTAGCAGTGACGTCACGAGCCCTTACTCCTAAACTTTGACGCGTTTTATTTTTGGCATTTTTTGGTATATAGACAGAAGAAAAAAAGTTTTCATTATTCCTGGATAATCTGTCTAAATAAAATTCCGTTTGTTTCACCTGTCATCATCCCTATAGCAACATTGCTATCTGCGAGAAATTGGTTTCTCTAATGAGATAGTGGACCTTATTCTAGCATGAGTATCCATACCTAAAACTAAATTTAATAAGTCTCTCCTTTTCATTGGGTATATAGCATGACAAGGATACACTATTGTCGAATTTTAATGGTTTAGAGAATTATGCCAGAAATCGTAGGTGTAGCAATCCCGCTAATAACTTTAATGAAATAAATTACTCTAGAAAGAAAGGGACATGACCAACGAACAGAAAAGTGTGAAAGAGACGGAGCGATAGAGCGAACAATAGTTTACGTTCGGATTTATCAAGGAATGCTCACTCCATTCTCTCTATGTTTATGACAAAACACAAGAAATGGTAAACAACGTCAAACGAGAAAGTGATCTGTGATTGGCCGGATAACGACAGCAATACAATCCGGCCAATGTCAGAAAAGCTTGCACTGAATCGGTTCCATGATTAGAATATAGCACACAACACGCGCAATGCACGCTTTTTCGCATAGTCTATTATTATAGTTTATACTTTCGCATAATTGTGTTGGGCAGAATTCTTATCACTATAGTAACTTAAATATATCTTATTAACAATATATTATTGTTTGGATTTATTTCCGCATAACCTTGTGAATGTAATCTAATATCTCTAACTTTATCAAGACACATTTTGTATTCGCAAAAAAATACTCAAAGATGTGTCATATTATGAAACTGAGATGCTTCATAAATATATTGTTTTTTGACAGTTAGATATCAAATACGACTCTGTATTACAATGGTCACGCTACGGAAGCTGACTCTAGCGAATATTTTTTTCATGTTTATCCTATTATGATTAGTAACAGGATGTTCTTAGATGAAAACAAAAAGGGAAGACACGGTACGCTCTTACTAGCATTAAACAAAATATTATGCACCGGCTCAACTGCATAAGCAGCTTTCACACACGCACACATCTGTTAATAAACATTCAATGCAGCGCGAGCGAGTCCGCGTCGTTCTTTCTCTCTCTACAAACGACTGAGTATACAACTCAGTCGTCTTGTCCTTTTCTGGATAACAAATGCCGAATAAAAGCGAATGACATTCATAATAGAGCGTGGATTTTATATAAAAAATGAAAAGTGATACAATGGCATTTGTTTTTGAATAATTTGTGCATTTTTTGAGAGCATCGAAGTCATTATTTATTCTTTTCAAACACAGAATATTCGCATTACTGTTTTATGAGCGCACATACGGTGTGTTTGCTTGTCAAAAATTGTGATTAAAGCGAATTGTGTGCATTCACTAAATTAAAGCGGTACACTTTTGAGACGCCAGTGCCGTTTCTTTCCTTTTTGATTTAATCTAAGGAGATATTACTAAAGATTACATAATTAAGTTAAGATAACATTTTTTCACATCAATAAAGAAATCGTTCCAATTTTTAAAACAAACAGAAGAGCCCAAATTATCTATTTTTTATGTGAATTTGTAGTAAACATGCACGCATACATAATTACCCTCTATTAACTTGTCCACTAGCTATTGTCTACCGATTTTCTGTATCACACACTTAATTAAGCGTTGATGCACCATCTCTGTCGTTACGTAACACATACCGTTAATTTATAACATTTGTTACACTTAGAAGTAGTTTACCACTTTGTGTCATTACACTTTACCATGGATTAAAACATTTGTGTCGTTACATACCTCTAGTGACAGATTTGTTTCGTGTAGTAGTACTACTCTTCTATTGGTAAAGCCACCGCTTGCTAATGTACGACTTGTTATTTCTTACAGATTCAAACCCTCTCTGACTTTAATATCTACCGAGTCTTATGTACGCCGGGTCAAGGTATCGCCTACTGAGAGGTCTCCTGGGTTCGAATCCCGCGGGGCAATGTTAGTGTAATGAATACGAGCATTTGTACCTAAGTCATGGTTGTTTATATGTGTTTTCTAAATAAAAAATATACTTATATAAGTATACACTATGTTCATTATCAGTATTCTCTCCGTTACCTAGTATCCCATAACACAAGCCTTTCAGTGCTAACTTTGAGGCTAAGTTAATTGTTGTGAGTTTTAAAATATCCATCCATCCATCCATCTGAGTATCTCTCTGTTGTTTAAAAACAGATCACATATTTGCAACTGCCGTTGTTATTTATAACTAACATACAGTTGTTGAGGACACAACGATCTGGTTCGTACCTTGTCTTCACTGATAATGCTATTCATTAACCAGGATATCGGAAGTTAGTGAAACCTTATAGCTAAGCGATAGGAGCTTGTTTCAGATAACTCCTAACCTAGAGGCTCGCGCGTCAGCCAGTCTGTCTTTCGATGGCCATTCTCAAGTAACGCTCAGGCCGGGCGATAGGTAATCCGTATAACGTCAATCGCAAACGCTCATTCGATTTTGAACCATAATTCGGTGCTATAAGGTGTATGATGTGAATGGAATGGTATTGGCCCAACTTAATAACTAACGCTTTGCATGCTAAAATTGTGGACACATCCTTGCACATCATTGTTTCATATTTCAAGCTAATCATTGGACTCGATTCAGCTGGTCTCTTACTTTGAAATGAAGTGCAGTATAAAAATATATAATTTTTAATTTAAATTGAAAGAACGACGATTTTAGCGCTTGTTTGGTAAATAATATTATCGCGCTTAAATATGAAAGTAAATTCTAAAATACAATGCATTTTTTTTTAAGTCAATTCTTAGACAATTACTTAAACTATCAATCCTTTTTCGTCTTATAAAATATAAAGAGATGTACTGTGCTCTATTTCAAGTTTAGAAGCGACAGAATCGAGCCCTTTAGATTACTTAACGTTTTTTTTATATCGTTACACAGTTTATACGTGACCACGTCAGTATACCCGGTTCCGTCGATCTGCGCGCAGGACCAAATCTCCGACTGGTTCGATTCCCTGGCTGAATGCTTGCACTGGAACGTGCGTAAAAAGCAGAAACAGATGGATGAGCTCAGCGACCACACGCACTCTTCCATCGACAATCTAGAAGAACTGGAGGCAAACCACCATGACGATAGACCTGCGGATACGTGACGTAACGGACTTCTAACAGAAACGTAGTGTAAGCGGCCGTTCGAAATGTTGACGTCAAATCCAATATGGCAGATTAGGGTGTACGCGAATTTTTCCCAATTTTTGTAAGCAGTTTACGGTCAACGTTTTTTATTATACAGATTAATGTGATCGAGATGTTCACTGTGTATCGGGGCCTTGTTGTAAGATAGTTGTATCTAAGTGGTTTTAGGCAATATCAAATTGAATTATAATAATGCAGCTAACTGTGTAACTTAATAACGACTGGAAATTAGTTTAGTTTCGATTTATGAAAAAATTGTTACCTTGTCACAATATGAAGAGTGGATCCCGCATCAATACCTATTTCATTTTGTATCATCCTATTATTTCATCGTAACTACATTCCCGATGAGTGATAACAACGCAGAAATCATGAAATGATATTAATAAAATAATATAAATCGACTGCCATTGTTAAAGAAAATATACCCCATTACGACAATACGTATTTGATCAAAATGAAAGAAAGTGAAACTATTTAATCACATTTATATACTACCCGTTTGCTTCGAGTTGGCCTTCGATGACCGTTACAAAATGAGGCTCAGCCAATCACCATCTGGTACCGTCAACCAATAGGATCGACTAATAGGGTCTGTCTAGGAGCGTGGTGCGGGGAGGGTGGGAGCGGCCAACTAGATCTAAGTGAACATTAACTGTCAAATTTTCTTATAGATTGCGAATCTTATATGAAGTAATATAAAGCTCAAATTCATTTGCAACTGTTTGACAGTTTTGACTTGTGGCTGTCCGTACATAAGATTTCTTGTCAGATCAAAATTCAAAAACATTCCCTTGTAAAACTTTTGTTATTTGTTTTATATGAAAAAATAATGATATCACTTTGTTTTGTGCAATTGATTTGCAATTAGGAAACCTTATTAGAGGCTTTGATTGTGTTAATATATTCTGTGCTCTCTGAAACTCACTAAATTATATAACAATTATCAAATTTAATAAAGCGATTGTCAATGTATAATTTAGATCAAAGATGATATTAAATTATATGTTGCAAAAAGTAATAGATACATAAACTAAGAGAGAAAAGAAAACTTAAAAAATGTTATGTACCTATTTAAAATTAATTTTATTGAAGATGGAAACGAGCCTATAGTTTAGTTATCATTGTTGTCGTACGTTCGTACTTTTTGATTTATAAATGTGTAATTCCTGTACCTACGATACATATTATGCTTAGCTTCTCGTGCATTTTTTTTCTATAACTTGAAGGCACAGATTACCCACACAGAGTCCACATTAGGAGGTACTAAATTTTTTTTTGAAATCGCCAAAGTCGCTGGTGTGTGAGTAGGGTTGCCAACCCTACTATATAAATATAACCCTACTATGGAAAAACAACTGTATTTTGCTTAAAGCAGGGTTTTGCCAGTAAAAGCTTTCATAAAAATAAAAACTGAATTATTAATGTGTAGAGGAGCAAAAAGTATGTGGTTAAAATATTAACTTTTTTGAAATGAGTATCATTTCAAAAAAGTTAATATTTTAACCACATACTTTTTTTCATTTATTCATTTATTGCCATCTACTATATTTTTAGAGGTAACAGCTTCGAAAATACTATATTTGATAGAAAAAAAGTTGGTAACCCTACGTGTGAGGATGGTCAGCCGCGTTTTGATTGGACACGTCAGAGTGACGTCACGGTCGGATGACGGTGCAAACTTTTATCACGACGTTTGAGGGCGTGTCACACGCATATGTACTGTTACTACATAAGCTTGTTTGGCATATTCAGCATTTAATGAATTCCCTAGTGGGAGTGTTCTGTGCTTAAAGACAATATTGCTTTGTACAATATTTATCGGGCGATGGGATTGTGGTGCTAAATGATTCAGTGCCAATAAACTTAAGAGTAAGGTCAACCAATGGTGTTCAAAGGGAGCACGATACTATGCATTTCTCCCGGTTGCACCACTGCATTGCGACCACAGACAGAGAATGGACTGAGCGATTTTCGTTTAACAGTAAAGTAAAACTGGGGGTCAATCGCCTAACGGAATTGCTGTAGATATCGCCATCGCTTACGATTTCATTTTTATATTTCTGACCGCCGAAGGTTTTCAAATACTTCACGCTCATTTTCTTTAATATTGTTATTTCCAATGCAAAAGAAAAAATAAGAGCACGAGCCATTTGAAAACCTTAGGCGTTCATAAATAAGAAAATGAGATCGTAAGCGATGGCCATAGCTATAGCAGTACTGATAGGCAATTAGCCCCCTGGGCAGCTAAGTAAGAGAGAGACGAAGCGATCATGCGGCCAAGTTTGTACAAGTTTTCGCTGCACCATCGCTTTCTCTCATTCTAGAGATTAGACGAGTTTTCATGCGTGTCGCTATGTAAGCCTCTCTATGCTTATAATTGCGATGAAGATGTCCTTTCACATAACAATTCAAATAAAATTGACAGTCCATCACTATTGTAGTTGAAAAAATCGATTATTTATTAATTTAGTAGAAAGGACAGGATCACTAAATGTTGAGAATTATTTTTTTATTTTCCGGTAATGTAAAAAAAAATTGGTCTTTTTCAAGGTAACACTGGGTGTAGTACAGTGGTGTAACTGTGAGGAATGCATTTGCAAAACATAGTTATGTATGTAGATAGTATGTAATAGTTGCGTATTTTACTTCAGCAATCTCTAAATCACAGGGGTTTGATGGTTCCTAGTTATGTAATTTCACATAAAGACATTTAAATTTTTTTCACTTAGTGCTTTTTCGTTAATAAGGAGACACTAGGTTATATTTATTGGAGGAGAGGAAGATGCGGTTTTCCTATAATCTATTCTCGCCAATAAACATTTGGAAATCATCAATCCAAAACATGCCACCTCATCCCAATAAACCATATTTTTTAAGTGCAGAATCTGCGGAAATATGGTGTTTGTTAAAATGTACAGAAAGATATTGATGGTGTTTATTTGTAATATTTGTGCCTGTTATTTGAATGAAAGTTTGTTTGGTGTTCATGAGTTTATTATAATGAATAATTGTATATATGTTTTATTATAAATTATACAAATTTGACTAAACTCTGTTTGTTTGTTTCTTATCTGCGATTTGTAACACCAAACCCTAACGTATAAGTAACGTATAATTCTATAAGTTGCATAAAAGTAACGAATTTTCAAAACTCGTAGAACAAGTGTGGTTGTGTAAGCTGTTAGCTATCTACTACTGAGAGGTTACCGGTATTTTAAAATTAACCCTGTATATACCTATCTACTTATGTTCGAGGGTTTCACGTGATAGACGCGACGCACACCAGAAGAGGTGCGAAGATGCTGAGAAGTTCACAATCTAAGTTAACCCTTATTCCTATATCATAAGTTTAAAATTTTCATGACAATTATGAAACAATACAAAAGCTGGGCATAAAGCTGCGAAACGGCCAGGGGAGCCGGCAAGCGACTACTCCACTCCGTGGCTCCAGGCCGCGCTTAATGTCGCCGCGCGGCACTCTGTGGCTTTTGGCCGCGCTCGGAGTCGCCGCGCTTTTCCCGGTGTGAGCTGCGCCTTAGGGGATGCGCTCAGGTAGGGCCGGATTTGAGATATGGAGGCCCCGGGGCAACGAAAGGTTTCTCATGGTCTTGGACGAATCTAATGGTGAATGGACCCCCAACTAGAGATATTATTCTTGGAACTTTATCAAAGCCAAACTATTTCATGTAACCCTAAAGTACTATTGCGTTAAATAACCTGATGTATTCCTTTCGTGAACTACTAACTAATTAAAACATGCTGTACTGGATACTGCAGTGCATGCTGTAGCATATTATAATTATACTAGCAAACCAGTGAACCAAATGTTCACCAAAAAAAAAGTATTTAATTAATTGAGAACTTCGAAGATTTTGTGTGGTTTCGTTTGAAATAGAAATCACGTGATTTCTCGAAAACCGGAAGTGCTACGTTACTCACATCCGGTTTGTAGTCTTATCAGACTATTCTTAACTTATAACTTAAACATTCTCTATATCTATCTCTTACGGTTTGGCCGCTGAAACAGCACCACGGACGGACGGACTTGTCTAATAGATAAGAGATTACGGCGGATGTTTTCACGACGTCCATTCCGTACAAGCGTCTGTTTTCAACTGTGCCGATAGTGAATGTAATATAAGGAAGCCGTACCCTAAGCACGAACCATTATCGTTTTCGAATAGTTAAGAATGTGGAGAGCGCTATCGCAATGTGGGCACATTGATTTATGTATCACAAGTACCTTTAAAGATTATGGTGGTCGCTTATCATCAACAGAGCTCGCTTCGCTAAAGCTCGGTCGGCCGCGTAATATGCTAAATATTAGAGCGTCAAATTATTTCCGAAATTCTGAAGCATCTCACATCCGATGATTATGAGCGCCGGCTGAGAACGATTGAATGTCATATTTTGGAAATTGAAAATATAAGTAGAAATGAGGGCGTATGAATTTTATTTTCTTTGACTTACGTAGGAATTGCTAATAAAAAATTAAATTCGTTAATCTTCAGGTGTGCAACTTCATCGGTTTTACATTTTACCGGTCGTTCATCACTACGACTTTAACGCTGGCTGTATGTATTCTTTGCTTTCATCATGAAAGTAAAAAAAACAAATCGTAGAGTTTTTGGTGGTGGGCGTCTTATTCTAATTATTCTTTTATTCGTTCATCGTGGATGTTGTGAAGTAAAATTGGTGTGATTTTGTGTTACAACCCTCTGCACAACTGTAGAATTAGTGGAATCTCTAAAGTATACAAAATATTTATTCCGATCAAGTGAACATAAGCACTTTATTGTAGTGTTGACTACCTCACCAAATATTATATTTTCTTGGAGTGTTTTTATGCCAAACACTCCAAGAAACATTAGAATGCGTCACACCCACATTCGAATGTAATAAAAAAAATAACAAAGGAAACTGAAGACTGTATGAGCATTGTCCCCTTTGCCTTCCTTAAAAACAGAGAACTTTAAACAAACAAATCAAAATAAATAACCTCACTTTGGGGAGGAAATTTAGTTTGGATTATTAAAATAAACCTATCAATTATTGTGCAGTGGGAAGTATAATTCCCAAAATATGTCTAAAATAACATGCTTACTAAACTTTTTATCAAAACGAAGCATCTCTGTATCAGCACCACGAGAAGGCAAAAGAAATTTCAGAAAATTTGTGATTCCTAACAAGAGGGGAACTCGTCTTCAGAAACAACGTCAAGCCAGTTCAGATCCTGAGCTGCCAATTGATAAGAGAGGAGTGCGCGATACAGGATACGTTTTAGATGGCCGTTTTGTACAAGTGCCTGAGATGATACCTGAATTGATTGTACCTGATTTGAAGGACTGTGACCTTAAACCTTATGTGTCATACAAAGCAGCCGACGTCGTACAAAGCGAATTCACACCCCAACAATTGTTTGATGCTGTATACAGTAAAAAAATTGTCACAGATTTTAAACAAGGCAAACTCGATGAAGATGGTTCTCCATTAGAACCATCTGATGAAGAAAATTTGCAACCAAAAGAGGCTGTGGCCCGAGCTAGACGTACAGGCTCTGATATTTTCTAACATAGCTTTTGTTCTGTTGTAGTATAATAGTTAAAATATGTAATAATTTAATTAATAAAGTTTAATGTAAATAAATTTTTCTTTCTCCTTAAATATTTTTTTATTGAATTGAACACTTGTTTCCCTATAATTATAATGATATCTTATTCAATGACCTTCATGAAATGATTTATAAAATAAAAATATATAGTACCATCTGCCTATGTATGTATGTATCTTGGTAATATAGAATACTTTGACTAGTCGCGCTGTGGCAGATTACTTAGGGCACAGTATTATTTATAATATTTATAAATAGATGAATGAAGGCAAAACACTGCTTAACTAGTCCAAGCTTATTCGCTACTTGGGTATTTCAGTTCTACATTAAAAAACATATTTTTTCCTTTATTTTAATCATACTCTTTCTGAAGTAATAAAGAAGTCTTCCTCTTGTTTATTTTTGCCATTAATATCTTCTTTCAAGTGATGATGACCAATATGAGAACACATCTACTATTGTAAAGGTCAAGCGTCTTTTCCAACGGTCGGTAAGTACTTAGATGAAGAAAGGTTACTATACTGTTAAAGATTTCATAAATGAAGTCACCTTGGGCTTAATATAACAGACTAAGTCGTTTTACTCTGCTGATTTGGTTGAATATTGTTTAACCGCCACTTCTAAATTTAAATGTAGTACCTAACTATACTTAACTTTTGTTAATTAATAATATTAATGTGATGGAAGTTGACATCAACACATGTTTTCAATTTTTGATGTCATCTTTCAATTGACGACACTGTTTGAAACAAAACAGGGAGAAAAAAATAGCCCTTGCCGAGTTTCTTGCCGGTTCTTCTCAGTACAAGGTCTCCCGCCGTAGATTTACGAACCGATGGCGTAGCGTTTGACTTTCACAAGAGCTTGTAACAGCCTAGACTGAATAAATGAGTTTGAGTTTGATGGGTGACCAAAATTTTTGTCTCATAATGGAAACCCATAATCAGAATGCATGCTAAAACTGACTGGTCACATTGACGCAAAAATCGGTCATGGGCCTATCCTACGCGATGGTTGTTGATAGTTTGTCCTCATCATGCATGAGGACAATAGTTATTTATTATACAAGAGTGGAAAGTTCCTTTTTAACCGCGTGCTCGATTTGGATGACCGAGCAAGCGAAGGATTCTAAAGTTGAATCACGAGCGCAGCGAGTGATTCTAAATTAGAATCCTGAGCGTCAGCGAGGGAAACAAACGAGCACAAGGTGAAAAATCTTTCCACTCGAGTGCAATACGTAACTTTTCATCCCACCTCAGCGAGGAAATGACAAAATGAAAAAGAAAACAATTTATAATGACAAAATATTTAAGCAATAAAACGTGAAAAACTAGAATGGCGCGAAGCACGCAAATAAAACAAAGAAACCAAGAAGGTTCCAAATTTAAATTTTTTCACAATTTAAAAAGTTCTAATCATAAATTTGGCACCATAGAGGTTACATTAAATAGGTTTAATGACGTTTTGAATTTACAATTATATTGAGTACTCATTATATGTGATGTTCTAAATTCAAATCTACTTTGCCGCTCAAGCGAATAAAATAGAATTTTCCAGCCAGATTTCGAAGCGCAAAATTACACTTTCCGAGGTGGTGGGATGAAAATATATATTTATGTTCATAGCGCCATAGGGTAGACGTAGAGCAGACCTCTTCAATAGAAAAAGTATTATATTCGGGTGCACGAAAGACATAACTCAGTTTCGGGCACTCGAAGCAATATTTACCATAGAATACGTGCTGGAAGATGTGTCAGGTAACCAAAACGAAAACTACCCGAATACGGGCGTACTCGACTCCGTTTATTTACCCGAATTTCATTGGCATTCGTATTTAGTCTAACGTCCAAGTGTAATCGCGCCATTAGGAGGATAGTTTAATGATTAAGTAAATAATACAAGTTATTTTAAGGTTATTTCGTAGTATATATTCGGGTAATTCGATGTACATTACGAGGTAACTAAGTAGTTATTATCAGCTACTAAGCACGATCACGTTCAATAAATTATAACCACGGATACAAAATTGACCCCAAAAGTTTATCTTAGCCGACTATTCGAGGTTCTGGGTGTAATCAACATAGTCATCATTTGAATTGAAGATATCGTTTCGCGCGGTTGTAGACGCGTGCGCAGTTGGAGCCGGTTATACATACGTCTTTATCTTCATTTATCAACATGGGTGGTAACTATTCCGCTATGGATCCGCTACAAGTGCCTGTTCCCGATATACAAAATTTATTCGAACGTGATGGTTATTTGAAGCCGTACGAACGTGAAATCCGACGAAGGTAAGTCTAAAGTTTGTGTTATATCGTTTTTAGTGTGATACACAAAGGATTTAGTCAAAAACTGTTAAAATAAACACTGTTTGAGGTTATCCAATGCAGCTGGCCGTGTTTACAGCTATCTACTCAGAAGCGTGAAGCACTTTATGGCGCTACATGCTATAGTGAATAAGAATACTGAACAACTTCGTATTCAAATAGTTTTTTCCATATTCTATTATCTGCTGTATAAATTAATAACCCTTAACTTTTTAGTAAGACCAAAGATAGTCTAAGTGGTTTTGTTATAGAATATCCACATGAATAACGCCACATTGATTGATAATCAGAGCTTTAATCGCTTTATTATTCAAAACTTCGTCTTCAATGTCAAATGTAAGGTCAATTTATTAGGCGGTGTTATTTAACTTTTGTTTGTATGGTTAAGAACATTGAAGACTTAACTTAAAGATGCTTTTTAATTAAATGGTTAAATTTAATATATAGACTAGTGCAAATCTGATACGTAAAAATATTCGTAATGTAATTAAGATGAATGCATTCTTCCTCTACGCGACATGTATCTTTTGTTGACTACCTATATATTTTGATAGTAGATCGCATTTTTCTAACTCACTCCACTCTCTTTTTTTAATGCAAAACTAACTAAGACGGGAGGAGGCACAAGCATTAACTTATGCCAACTGAGATAATGGGGCATATGATACACATAAACATACGGACCATTTAAGTCCGTGGCAGAGAAATATACAAATAGGATACATAAATACTAGGTTTATTCCAGGTCATCAAATCTGGATTAGGCCTAGTATCCTTGTATCCTAATATCTATGGAAGCGAAAATTTCGACATTTGCGGATGCGGATTATAAAGATTTACATCCGCTGATGCGGATTTCAGGATATTAGAACGATATTTCAATTTTAGATTTATAAATAAATGTAAATCGATTTACTGTTAATTTTTATTAATATTTGATTTACTGTTAATTTTTATTAATATTTGATTTACTGTTAATGATATAAATGTAAATCGATTTACTGTTAATTTATATAATTAGCGTTTCAAGTGGGACTCTTTATTTTTTTCTCCTTTACCACATTGTGTGGGGTGTCGTTAGATACTAAGAACTTTCAAAAATATTGAGGGTTTATTATATTTTTATTTTAAGCATTTAACTGCTATATATTTAAATCTAAGGAAACTTACTAGAAAAATATCCTTTCGATCCAGATATGGCTGCTACAAAGACCTATGGGACCGCATGGAATCCTGGGAAGGCGGCGTGGACGGTTTCACAAAAGGCTACAAATACTTTGGTCCTCAGTTCAACCAAGATGGATCAGTAACGTGGCGCGAATGGGCGCCCGGTGCGCACTGTATGCATTTACAAGGCGAATTCAGTAAGTGTTCATATGAAAACAAATCGAACAATATTTATTTGTAATTTATTCGTAAATGCATTGAACAGATAAATAAAAAGCTCAAAGTTGAAGAACTTTGACATCTTTGGATAATTTTCCTGCTCGCTCTATACGCACGCACGTGTTTTTTTTATATTCAATAATTTTATCATTTAGTTCAGTTTTTGTAAGACATTTTATTTATTTATGAGAGGTTAGTTGACCACAGCTTAGAATGATGATGCCCGATACCTTTATGTACTATCAAGAAACCGATGTTAGCGTCCTATAAAAACAACTAGTGCTTATGCCGACTAAACAAATCAGAGTTGCTACCGACTTTTAAAACTAATCAATCGTAAAAATAAATAAACTATAAAAATAAACTATTTCGGATTGTATCCGTGCCGTGGTGTTACGTGTAGCCACGCTTGCACATCGTGAACCCGCCATCGCGGCGCGTGTTTGTATAATTTTAACGCGAGACGCTTGTGTGAAGCGTAATTTTAGTGAAAAACATCCTTAAGGTATCACTATCACTTTGGAAAGATAAAAATATCAATGATATTCGTACTTGACAGTGAACTCGTAGCACACTACATTTCTGAATGAAATTTTCGATAGCAAGTAGGTATACAAAGCGGTTCGAGTAGGGCAGGCAGCCATAGCACGGTAATAATATGGCCATAGGTACACTATTTTGTTTGATTTTACTTCAGAAAAAAAAAATCATCATTATGACAGTTAAAAAACCGGTAAGTGCGTGTTGTACAGCTCGCAGTGTAGGGTTCCGTAGTTGCCTGTCCTTACCACAATATATTTGAGCAGGAGTCTTTATTTTCTGTATAGGAAATTAAAAAAAACGACTTTTGAATAGTTTTTTTTTAATTTGTTTTTCCAAGCAAGGTTTACGCTATAATAATGTCACTATTGTTAATAATGTTTTCTTTTAAGGAATTTTCAATAGGTAAGAAATTTTCTTTAATTCAAAGTTGATAGACTATTACGCTTAAACTAACAAACCTAGCTTAACCGTTGGAATTTTCCTTAAAAGTTTATGAAAATCACTATTATCATGAATTTTTCCAGGTTTTTCAAGCCAATACTTTTAGAGAGGGGAGGGGAAGCCCTACTCGAACAAAAATTAGCACTTTATAGTTCAATATTTCGCAAACGGATCCCTAAATTAAAAAGTTATCTTTGGAACCCCTAAGTAATTTTAAAGTACCTATTCAACGATACACCACACGATGGGGTAGACGATGAAAAAAAAATCATCTCCAGGTTACATGTAGGGAAGCTTTCTAAACAAATCTTTTCAAAATTTTATTCCACCATTTTGTCTGCGTGATTGATATACATGTATATCACCACAAAACTACAGCTCTAGTGCTAACAGACTCCAAGCAAAACCGGGGACGAACAGACAGACGCACATGACGAAACTATAAGGATTCCTTGTCAGTACTACGGAACCCTAAAAACAACGTTTAGATCTTTCTTGTTACTTAATAGGTAAGTCTTTTTTTGCTTTATAGATTACAGCGTGACAAATAAACTACTTATACGACCTCCGTGGCCGAGTGGTTTGTACGCCGGGTTTCATGGTGGCGCCGACTCGAGAGGTCCCGGGTTCGAATCCCGGTGGGGGCAAATGTTTGTGTGATGAATACGAGCATTTGTACTCCAGTCATGCATGTTTAATATCATCATCATCATCAGCCTATTAATCTCCCCACTGCTGGGGCACATGCCTAATAATGATTCATGTTTAATATGGATTTCTATATAAATATACTTATATATGTATAACCATAACACAAGTCTTACAGTGCTTACTTTGGGGCTAGGCTAATTGGTGTGAGTGTAGGAAATATTTATTTATTTATTATATACTTACTCAAAATAACGAGTCCTCTCTTTTCTGAGTGCGGATCCGAATATTTAATTAAGTAGTATAGCCGATAACCTTCTAGCAGTTCTAGCTAAAAATGATCTACCTTCCAGATGGTTGGAACTCCAAGAGCCATCCCTTCAACAAGTTGGAGTTCGGCAAATGGGAGCTCCACATTCCCGCCAACGCCGACGGCTCGTGCCCCCTGAAGCACGGCACCCGCGTCCAGATCATTGTGAACGACCACCTGTACAGAATCTCTCCGTGGGCCAGCTACGTCAAACCATTCGAGGGGTTCACCTACCAACAGTACATCTATAAGCCCGACCAGGCAAGTAAAGAGGCTTGACCACCAAAGACATGTAGCTTGCCTCTCGGTGTTTTATCGGTTACATTTCGGAAAGTGTGCGGAGGTATTACATAATTTGATCCTCCCTTCATCTTTCCACCACCGGACGACCAGGTGAGGCGAGGGCTTTCACCCTTATGCTGTCGAAGTTCCTCCCATTCGTACGAAACGATTTGCTTCCGCTTTCATTATACGAACTGCTTGGGAATGGTACTCCTTACCGAAGTCTGTTTTCCCTGACCAATATAATCTGGACATCTTTAAGGCCAGAGTGAACAGGCATCTTCTAGGCAGGCGTCTACCATCCTAGACCTCATCATCGCATTCCATCAGGCGAGATTGTGGTCAAACGACTTGCCTTTTAAGCATTAAAAAAAACTTTAAGGAAATATTACACTCTGTCCAGTTGGCCCATTCGCTAACTTTTTTGACATTTACAGTGTGTTAATAAAGAGAAAATTGTTTATCCATCGATGCTTTTCAAGACATACTCGTCCTGAGTCTTAGGCCCGTATTATAGAAAGATTCTCAGTGATTGATCTAGTCTTGAGCATAGTTATAAAGGGATGTCGCTATATATAGCACATAGCGATATCCCTTTCTAACTGTACTCAAGTAAAGATCAACACTTATAGTTGTCATTCTGTAATACGGACCTTAGTGCAGTTATAATAAAAACCGGCCAAGTGCGTGTCGTGCCACGCGCAGTGTAGGGTTCGTCGTCACCACAATTTTCGGCATGATTAATATATATATCTCTACAAAATTACAGCTCTCTAGTGCTAACCACAGAACACCTGTGTTCTGTGGTGCTAACAGTCTCCAAGCAAAACCGGGGACGGACAGTCAGACAGACAGACCGACAGACATGACGAAACTATAAGGATTCGATTCAGGACTACGGAACCCTAAAAAGCAGTAATGAATCACTAAATAGCACGGCGATTATTACTTCTATCTGTTAGCGAATAGGCCTCCAGACCCTCTAGCATGAGCACCGCGATATATTTTAACGCGTTTTTATCACGCTCAATTGACAAATTACTATGGAGTTTGACAGTGAGATGTGATAAAAAATGTGATATAATGTAAATTGTGATGGTCATGCTGCAGGTACAGACCTCACCCGACACTGGATCTTTTCTAGTAAAATGTTATTTAGATTTATCAAGCAGTTTAGTTTTAAATTAAAAATATGATGAGTTTGGTCAGTGGTTTTAAGCGCATGATTTTATATTACGTATTCAATTTCATTCTATTATTACCGTGTCAATCGATAAGATAAGGGGATCTCTTAAAATGTTTATGAAACTGATGTTTTACATTCGTGTATTAGGTAATAATGATAATACACACATACACTTGATAAGATACTTTGTTAATCCCGAAAATAACTGGTTTGATAAAATTAAGTTACTTACAGTTTTTATTTTTCAATTTTACATGCGTAGTTAGTTACTTGCAATATAGCATTTCAAGTTATGCATAGTCGTCGAATTTCCCAATTCAGGAAATTTTATATTTATTTACGTTTCACGTACTTACTTACTTGGTAGCACTTAAATTCAAAATTAAATATCGTTTATTCAGTCTAGGCTGTTAGAAGCACTTGTGAATGTCGAAAAGCTACGCCATCGATTCGCAAATCTACGGCGAGAGACCTTGTACTGAGAAGAACCGACAAGAAACTCAGCAAGGGCTGTTTTTTTCTCCCTGTATTGTACTATTTTGTGGTAGCATCAAGGATACATGCATTCTTGTTTATACTGTGTCTATATTTTACTAATACGAACATATAGGCAACATTAATTAACGGGCACATACAGTACATGTTAACACCAAACTATTATTTATTTAATTGTTGGAACAGTAGGCTACAGTTGAGGTAATTACAATAAATAAGTGCGATGACGAAAATCACCCTTATTGCTACGTACTTAAGTAGATGTGTAAATCAAAATCAAAATCTCATTTAGTCAGTCCAGGTTATTGCAAGCACTTCTGAAGGTCAAGAAGCTACGTCATCGTTTTTATACCAACGAGTCTTCCTTATATTGCTTTTTTTATTACAACACACCAATTAGCCTAGCCCCAAAGTAAGCACTGTAGAACTATGTTATGTTATGGGATACTAGGGTAACGGATAGAATACACATACTGATACATATGTAAGTAGTACACAAATAGTGATGTTACGGTCTTCAATTTTGACAAACCGGATTTGATCGGTTAGTAATACATGCAAATCGGTTTCCGAACCGAACCGCCAAATTTTCAATAAACCGCGGTTTGAACCGGTTTGAACAGTTTGACGAGTTGACGAATGAAACTTACGAAACAACAGGTGTAAGTTTTATTTAATTCTACTTATTTTGTTGATATTACAACGTGCAAATATTTAAAGGTAATTGAAAAAAAAATATGAAAACAAATAATAATAATCAAAATAAAAATGTCAAAAAAAAAACAAATATCTATGTAATACCGTGTTTAAAAAATTACAAAAAAATATATGAACTCTATTAATTACATAAAACCGTACTTCTTAACTTTGAGAATAAAATATAATTTTAATAATCTACAATATAATAAATACGTAACTTATGATTTTATTTATTTTTAAGCATTTAACTGCTAGATGTTTAAATCTAAAGAAAAGTTTACTAGAAAAAAAAATCCACGCGGACCAGGCAGCGGACGGGACCCGTCGGGACGGGACGTGTCCCGTCCGCTGCCTGGTCCGCGTGGATTTTTTTCTAGTAAACTTTTCTTTAGATTTAAATACGTAACTTATTTTTGTAAAATAATTTGAGTCGTAGATACTTAACTTGGTACAAACAACTTAATTAAAAAGTTTTCTAACAACTATTTAGGAATAATATTTGGTCTACTTTTTTAGAAGCTGGGCAATTACGTCGCATATTACATAATAATGAAAACAAAATTACACCGTCAAGTCAGTCAAATCTACCAGAGTCCGTTTCATTTCGGTTCGGTCGGTAAGTCGGTTATGGCTGTTGTATTTAAATTGACGACGCGCGCTAACCGTATCCGCTGCTGTAAGTCGGTTCGTATTGGTCTGTCAAGTTTTATTAGGGTCGGTAAAGCATGTCAGGAGCCGCACGCGATTTATGGATGGCGGCATAAACAAGAATTGACAGGCGCGCATGCGAGCAGCGCGATACGAACGAATGCCACGGTAGAACCGGTTTACGAAGACGTTAACCGATTCAACTCGGTCCATGCTCAGACCGGTTTGAACCGGTTTGAAAAGTCGAGTCGTTACATCTCTATACACAAACATCTGCCCCCTGGATTCGAACCCGGGACCATTCGAGTAGGCGACACCTTGAAACCCGGCGTACAAAGCACTCGGCCAGTGGTTCATCCACTGTAAGGGTCTGCGTTGCTTTAAACGGCGGCGGTGATCTGAACCAAGTATATCTACCTATATCTCGAGTCTTTGCAATTACACCGCGATGTGGCATCATTAAGGGCATTCTAACTACTGGGATATGGAATAACTCCTCAGAACACTTCTTACACGCACAAAGAAAGTTGGTGACTCATTTCTTTGTCGTACTATTCGTAAGTGGGATTCTTTGCCCGCGCACGTTTTCCCGCCTTCCTACAATCTGGGGTCCCTTAAGAGAGGCGTGAAGAAGCATTTTGGCAGGCCGTCAAGGTGAGGATGGTTAGTGTGGCAGTTTATAACTGATGTACCAGCAATCTTTGCGTTTGGACTTTATCACTACTTAACATCAGGTGGGGTAGAGTCATTTGCCTACCTGGCTATATAAAAAAAATATCTATAACTTATGAATGTGTTCGTTCCACAGCCGTATCAGTTCAAACAGCCCAAAGTAGACCGGCCGGCATCCCTCCGCATCTATGAGTGCCACGTCGGGATTGCAACGCCCGAAGGAAAAGTTGGCGCTTACAACGAGTTCAGAGATAATGTGCTGCCTAGAATTAAAAAACAAGGTACCTAGTTATCATAATTTGATTTTGAAAAAATATTACCTGCTACTATTCTTACTATTCTGTGATACTATCTATCGTAGTACTTCAGCACACACACGCAGCTTAACAGAATAAATTGCATAATTCCGCATGTCCAAACATGTTTGCACAAATGCAAACATATAAATTGTTACTGGTTAGTTACTGGCAATTACCAATTCTAAGATTTAATTAGTCACACCTCATCAGCGCCGACAGTAACAAGCAGTATATAGAGAAAGTTAAATTAATTGCTTGTTTTACTGGGTCGGTCCACTTGATCACCGCACTCGACATAATGGACGCTGCACTGCAAAAAAATAAAACTGGGGAAAAAAACATCTCCACTCCAATTTGTTTCTTCTCACAGGGCCAGATTTAGGGCAGGGCAGGCGGGGCTGTGGCGTCCATAAAAGAGGAGGCCCCACAACAGAAGTCACCAAACTAGGGGGTGCAAATCGTAAGTGGTCCAGCCCTGATTTAGGGGCCTCCACTCCTTCGTTGCCCCAGGTCCCCCACATCTCTAAATCCGGCCCTGCTTCTCACTACAAAATCTGCTGCGCCGCATATTTTTTTCTCTTCTGTGTATAATAGGCAGATTTGGATGAATTTGAGTTTGATAGGTCTTTGAAATAGATTTTTATATATATTTATAAAAAGAAACCATTTGCTTCTATAGGATACAACGCAATACAGCTGATGGCGATAATGGAACACGCATATTATGCGTCTTTCGGATACCAAGTAACGAGTTTCTTTGCTGCCAGCAGGTAAATTGTCCAAAATACAACACATAGAGGTTTAATAACATACGCGAAACGGATCGGTACCACCTCGAGTCGAGCCTTTCAATATTCTTTGTGGCATTTTATGATGCGCTGCACCGTTGCACACTTATCAGCACCGTAACAAGTTAAAAACAACACCGTTTTACCTATCACATCGAGGCGATACGATATTAATCCATTTCCGATTCGTTATTATGAGACAAACCTATAACAACAAACTATTTAATGCCGGCACTTGGCTATTCGTATTTGCTATTTGTATCTTGACTTGACAACAGTCTGTCCTTATTATCATACTTTATAAGGAATGAAAAAGATAGGTTGATGTCAAGTTTACAAATAGCAAACACGAATAGTAAAGTGAAGTGCCGCTATAAGTAATATTGTCTCATGTCCACTCTTTGTAATCACTTCCTACAAATAAACAAACTTTACCCCTTTATAATAAGTATAAGAATAGATTATAAATACATATTTTATAGAAATTTTGCTTGACAAGAGCATGATAGATGCGAAAGTCTGGTAAATATAAAAGTCACTTGCATACAAACTGTACGTTATGTCCAATCGGTACGGGATCCCTGCGAGTTGAGGCAGTTGATTATACGTGCTTCTGGACGTAGTACACTTTTAAGCGTGCAAAAACACGCTCGACGGCACTGTTGATAAAAGGCTTGAGCTCCTCCGTGCTTTGAAAGGCACTTAAATCCGTTGGCCCCGGCTGCAGCTGCAGTCGTTAACACACACTAATTCTGCGTAATGGGTCATGAATGTCATGATGTCCCAATCTCCCTATTACTAATCCGCACAGGAGCCGCATACTGGCTCATAGCATAGCCTATTACATCTTAAATGATGGCCTGTGACGTGGGGATCTTAATATGCTGATGATCAAACAACCTTTCTAGTCGTTATGGCACTCCTTGCGAATTGAAGCAGTTTATCTACCGCGCGCACGAGCTCGGTTTATACGAGTTTCTGGACGAAGTACACTCGCACGCGTCCAAGAATACGCTCGAGGGCACTTGTTGATGGAAGCCTTAAGCTCCTCCGTGTTTTGAAAATATGGGCTCGTTGGTCCCGGCTGCACATCTGCAGTCTTTAGCACGCACTTATACCGCATGATGAGTCATGGCCTATTCCATTTTAAGAGATGGCCTTCACCGTGGGGATATTAATAGCCTGGCCATGATACAACCTTTCCAGTCGGTACGGGACTCCTTGCGAATTGAAGCAGTTGATCGACCGCGCCCATGAGCTCGGTTTATACGTGCTTCTTGACGTAGTACACTCGCACGCGTCCAAGAACACGCTAGACGGGCTCAACGAGTTTGACGGAACGAATGCTGGCTACTTCCACGACGGACCCCGGGGCACGCACTCGCTGTGGGACAGCCGCCTGTTCAACTACTCCGAGTGAGTATTTAGACCGTACGCAAAGAGAATGCGTTTTCATTAAGTCCGTGTACCTAGGGTTGCTAACTCTACAACTATATAATATAGTATCCTACTATATTAGGGCTTCAAATACTATGTTCCTAAAAATATATTTATAGTAGGCGAAACTACTATATTTCCTATGATTTTATTTATTTTTTAAGCATTTAACTGCTAGATGTTTAAATCTAAAGAAAAGTTTATTAGAAAAAAATCCACGCGGACCAGGCAGCGGACGGGACTATATTTGCTTTGAACAAATCAAAGCAGACTTGCCAGTAAAAGCTTTCTTTAAAATAAAAACTTAATTATTAAAACATAAAGTAAATATTCAACCACATCCTAGGTATACTTTTTCCATATTTTGCCATCTACTATATTTTTAGAGGTAACAGCTTCGAAAATACTATCTTTGATAGAACAAAGTTGGTAACCCTACGTGTTAACAGTCAACGATATTAAAAATCATAAGTTCATTATAAAAATCACCTCACGCCACCTGCTCAACTAGTCTAAGTGAATAGGTACTGATTGAGTATACATAGACAGAGTACACGATACTCAACGAATTGGATCAGCCAGCGCCATAATGTCTTCCACGCCCGACGGATCGCACGGTACACATGCATTGTGTTAGTAAATGATCGAGATAACTTAGGAAGGGATAGTACATGGAGTCTCTGGCGTCTGGCGCCCCGGGTCATTTACAATTTGCATGCTCAACCTCATGCAAAATCGGTAATTTATGCCTTTATATGGCTTTTAACCTCCACCCAAAGCCCTTGCAGCCGCCCCTCGTAGCCTGCTGCTCCTGGCTATGGCCCTCTGTCTCTAGGGTAAATACGCCTCTGTATAGTATCACGGTAAGTGTTACTACTGTAGGGACGCAATATTGTCAACTAAGCATTTACTGCACGTGTGGCGCGACGACGAGCGATTTAGCCAGTCGCCCTCCATAGTCTCCTTAGTTCACATTTTTCTATCTAAGATAATTTATATAAGGGTTGTGTAATATCCAGTGTCCAGTGAGAAATAAAGCTACAGTGTTCCTTTATATAAGACTTTATTATTTAATATAGACCAACCCCTAAACTACTATACGTGAGATAACAGCTATGTTTTGCCACAAAAAAGAATAATATAACAGTTTTGTTATTTTGTACGCCCATTCTGTATATTGATAAGTACTTATGGTGCCCATTTTTTTCAGAACTGAAGTTCTCAGATTCCTGCTGTCCAACTTGCGGTGGTATCAAGAGGAATACCAATTCGATGGATTCAGGTAAGGGATCAGTATTGTGGTGTGTGTGTGTGTAATTGTGTAGGATTTTACTTTTCAAACTATCCAACTTCTTAAATTCTTAAAGCATCATCAAAACAGAAGACGTTAGAAGGGCCGTGTGGGCGGGGCAGGCGTGCCACAGTTATGTGTGGGAAAATGATCCTTGAATGACCTTGATCAAAACTTGGTTGTGATTGCGTCGTTGTCCTCTCGTTTAAGCACTGATTAGTTCGATTGTTTGATGTCGCGTCGTTTGATTGGCTATTATCTATTACGTGGAAGTGTAGTGGGGGCGAGCCGGCGATATCTCTTTCTGTGTTCTGTGGATGTTGATATGGAATCTGTTTCCTCCAAGATTCGACGGCGTCACATCGATGCTGTACCACAGCCGCGGCATCGGCGAGGGCTTCTCCGGACACTACGACGAGTACTTCGGCCTCAACGTGGACACCGAGGCGCTCGTATACCTAATGTTAGCCAACCAGCTCATACACGGGATAGATTCCAGAGCCATCACCATTGCTGAGGTAAACGTCTTTGCTCTTTGATTGAATAAATATTCTTTATTGCTATATGAAACAGTTTTTCGAAAATACAAACACACAGGAATCTAAAAACAAAAAAGTCTGTAGTAGTAAGTATTACCGTAAAGTATATAACTGCGATGACTTGAACGAAAATCGTATTGATAAACGCTTAAAGTAAAATGCTACTGTTCTTTTAATCCAACCGAAGCAAAGCTCGATGGCGCAAGTGGTTAGCGCGTTCAGCTGCGATCGTTGAAGTTAAGCAACTTTTTCAGTGGTCAGTCATTGGATGGGTGACCAAAAATTTATTATCTCGAGCTCTTTGGAAACAACATTAAGCCCGGCGGCATCTTAAGTCGCTAGCACCCACTAATCCGCACTGGGCCTGCGTGGTGGGTCATGGCCCAAACTCCCTATATCATCCATAGGGAAGGCCTGTGCCCCAGCAGTGGGGGTATAATTAGGCTGATGATAAAAGCAAAGCTATAAAGACGTAAAGTCATGTATTACTTTCTTAAAAAGTTGTGAATTTATCTATTAATTACCCTCCCCAGGACGTATCAGGCATGCCCGGGTCATGCCGGCCAGTGACAGAAGGCGGCACCGGGTTCGATTACCGACTGGGCATGGCCATCCCTGACATGTGGATCAAGCTGCTCAAGGAGGAACGCGACGATGACTGGAAGATGGGTCATATCGTACACACACTCACCAACAGACGCTGGATGGAAGGAACCGTGGCCTACGCCGAGAGTCACGATCAGGTATAATTTAACATACATTTAAGGAAGAACATGCGGATCCAAACTGCTATAATGAAGCAAAGCCTGTACACTAAACTCAAACTAAGCTGGTTGTTAAAGTAAATATTAGTGTCGAGTCTGGCATGCTACTCTTAACTTAAACTAAAATTTGACAACAGTGTATCCTAATACACAGAATGAAAACGAGAGCCTGATGCTAGATTTAGTATTAAGTTTAGAGAAACATGCCAGAATCGACACCTTTGTATACTTAGTCTTGTAAAATAAAAACTAAATATTTCAGGCACTAGTAGGCGACAAGACCATCGCATTCTGGCTAATGGACGCCGCTATGTATACTCACATGAGCACACTCAGTGAACCCAGCCCCGTGATCGAGCGCGGCATGGCGCTACACTGCATGATCCGACTCATCACGCACGCGCTCGGAGGGGAAGCCTACCTCAACTTCATTGGTGAGTGTAGTGAGTGACGTATGACGCGGCATGTACAGAACCCAGCCCCGTGATTGAGCACGGCATGGTGCTGCACTTCATGATTCTACTCATCACGCACGCGCTCTGGGGGGAGGCCTACCTTAACTTCATCGGTGAGTGTAGTGAGTGACTTATGATGCGGCATGTACAGAACACAGCCCCGTGATCGAGCACGGCATGGTGCTGCACTTCATGATTCGACTCACCACGAACGCGCTCTGGGGGAGGCCTACCTCAACTTCATCGGTAAGTGTAGGGAGTGACGTATGATGCGGCATGTACAGAACCCAGCCTCGTGATCGAGCACGGCATGGTGCTGCAGTTCATGATTCGACTCATCACGCACGTGCTCTGGGGGGCGGCCTACCTCAACTTCATCGGTGAGAAACGTATAACGCGGCATGTACAGAACCCAGCCCCGTGATCGAGTAATAATAATAAATTTGCGTGCATTTAATACCGGTGTGGGTATATGACTTACATAAGAATTTAGAAATCGCACAGAAAAATAAGGGAATACATTTTATACATTTGCAAGATCAAATCATAATGTTGATCATTATGTCCTGTTTTACAATTTCAAAAAATAAATATTAAAAGGGTAGCAATCAAGCTTGATGGTAAGCGTTCGCCATAGCATATAGACGCTTGCGATCCAAAAAATATCACTCGAACCGTTGCCCACACCTGACCCCATCCCCTACCCCGTGGAGCCCTGGAACCTTACTCACCGACGGAAACACAACACCACAAAAAATTGTGTTATTTTACTGTCGTCTTCTGTAAGGTGGTGGTTCTTACTCAATTCTAATTCTGAAAATTCGATATTATTATGTTTGAGGGTACTCAGTTAAAACCGCATTTTAACCAAAAGTGGCTATAAGATCCTTAGCTTGCAGTACTCTGCCACTCTATTTCAATAGATTAACTATTTGTATTAATTACAGGCAACGAGTTCGGTCACCCCGAGTGGTTAGACTTCCCTCGCGCCGGCAACAACTCTTCGTACCACTACGCGCGTCGCCAATGGAACCTGGTGGACGATGACTTACTCAAATACAAGTTCCTCAACCAGTTCGACAGAGATATGAACCAACTAGAAGAGAAGCATAAGTGGCTCAGTTCGGCTCCGGTAAGTATTAATAAGTAAAAATAATTTATCTTTATTACCCATTTTTTGGTGCGTAACATCTTTCCTCTCGCTTTCCTGCAATTTGTGGGAGTGATTTCGTGAAATAGGACGGAAGTGTGTGTGTAGTGTGTAACAGGAAGTCGCGAAAGCGCGCGCTATTTGATTTGATTTTAGAACATAATTTTCAAATGGCTTATTCCTTTTGTAGTAGATTTTATTTCTTTTTTTACTAATATAAGGTGAGGTTACAAATGTTTGACATCATACGAGACTACTGTAAGGCTTGTTTTTTTTACTTATTTCTGACTTTGACGGCAGGAAAATCGCGTTTTCAAATTTATTACCTACTTATATATTTTAATTATTGATTTTTTATGTAAACATATGCGCGTATATGTTAAAAGGGTGGCAAACATGCAAATGGCCCGCCTGATGTTAAACGCCACCATAGCATATAGACGCTTGCGATATCAAAATTATCACTCGCGCCGTTGCGAACCCTGACCCAATCCCCTACCCCGACAGAAACAGAACACCACCAAAAGGAAGTGTTATTTTACTGTGGTCTTCTGTAAGGTGGAAGTTACTTCCCCAGACGAGCGCTCCAATTCGAGAGAGAGACACTGTTATATTTTTATTTTATTTTTAAGTATGTAACTGCTTGATGTTAGCTGCTGCCGCGGTAGCATAATTGGTCAGTACATTCGCCCGGATAGCGAAGGGTGCGGGTTCGAGTCCCGTCTGCTGCCTGGTCCGCGTGGAATTTTTTGTAGTTATATTTTCTTTAGTTGAAACTGTGTTATAAAAGCTTGCGATAATATTAAATCAAAATTTATTAAAAACAGTTTTATTTATCAATCTATGTTAGAAACAATTGTCTCTAAATAAAGAAATAGAATGTTACCCGCCCGTCGCCTTTTGCAGGATTCTATTTATTTTACATTTTTTTTGGAAATATAAATGATTTGTTTTTCAGGCCTACGTATCGTGCAAACACGATGGTGACAAAGTGATTGCGTTCGAGAGGGCGGGTCTCTTGTTCGTATTCAACTTCCATCCATACCAGAGCTTCACTGATTATAGAGTTGGCGTCGACGTACCAGGAAACTATAAGGTTTGAATGATATGTATTTTTTTCATGCTAGTCAAATAACATAATTACATCCGGACACATCTATCCGCCATCGATCGACAAATCGTAAATAACCGGATGGCCAGATTTTTAAATATGCCTTTGCATCAATGGATTAGTATGGTTCGATTCCCGGTTAAATAAATGTCATTGTCTCGTTGGTTGTGTCCTACTCAGATTTTGTTTTCTACAGGCAGAAAATTTAATTACGCCATCCAATTAATCTCCTTTGATTTCAGATTATTCTATGCTCAGATAGTAAAACGTATGGTGGTTTCGGTCGTGTAGAAATAGACGGTGAATCACATCTGACGCAAGATCATCCATGGGCCAACCGTAAAGACTCAATTCAGGTAATAAACATTAATGTTTTTTTTAGGCCGGTTTATGGTATCATCATTCGTCATCAGCCTATTAATGTCTCCATTGCTGGGGTATAGGTCTTCCCTATGTATGGAATGAAGAGATTGGACCAGGACCCACCACTCTGGTTCAGTGCAGATTGGTGATTAATGCAGACTGGACCAATGGCTTAACAATTGCCATTAACAATTAGGTTGAGGAGGTTAGGATAATTATTTTTTGATCACCTATCCAACAAGTGAACCAGCCATTCAAAAAGTTACGTGCGTACACACTTACCTTGTGCCTGGAGCGTGGGAACTTACTATACCTATAATTCTATCAGATTTTTTTAAATTTATTTTCTTGTCGTAGGACTGCTAAATGCATTCATATTAATAGCTGTTACACTCAGCTTTTGCCCAATCGGCGTCGACCTTAGATTAAATCAAAAAGGGACGTTACGCACTAAGTTGTGTCAAATAAAAAATGCTTCGACACAAATACCTAAGCAAAACTCACACACAATCACACCCACATATAAACATTCAATCTAGCGAACGAGACAGAACGGTACCTACCCTTAGCACGAACCAATATCGAATTCGAGTAGTTTGCGGGTGTGTACGAAATGCTATCGTCAAATGTGTACTGGTTTTTAGTTCTCGTTACGTCCGTTATGGCGCTACTGTGCAAGTGGTATGGAAACGGAAAATCAGTACACATTTGACAGTGACATTCCGCACTCGCAAACTATTCCAATTCGATATAGTTTCGCGCTACGCTTCAACGCAGCGCGAGCGCAACGTCGAGTACGCGTCGCTTAGCAACCGACTGCTTTTTCTTTTGCTCTCTACAGACGGCTGAGCTGTATTGTTGTTCTTTTTTTGATAAAATTGGCGATTATAAGCGAAAAACGTTAAGTGAAACCGCGATTTTTAAGAAAATATAATTTCCATATTTTTTAAGAAAATATCATTTTTATCCTCAGACAAAAAACCGTGGACTTTGTTATTTGTTCTTGAACTATTTGTGCACATTGAAAAAGAATTAAATGCATTGTTTTACCTTTTTTAACACAAAATATCTGCAATATTGTTATATTGAGTGCACATGCAATGTCTTTGGATGTCAAATTGTGACTAAAGCACATTGTGTTCATGCACCTAATTTAAGCAGTGCACTTTTAAGACATGAGTGTCGTATATTCCCTTTTTGATTTAATCTAAGGTGTCTACAAGTGTGGGGAGGACCTAAGAAATCTTACTGACCTCAATCGTCTCATTATACATATACCTATTCTCATTCATAGATGCAACTTTGAAACACTTCATTATCATAATTTTGTTTAGATATCTGAATATAAATTATCCATGTGTCTTTACAGGTATACATCCCTTGCAGAACCGCAATTATTTATGCCCGAAGTGATTAGAAATTAGATTACATGAGTTATTTGAAAAACAATAATCATCTTTAAATCTATTATTTTGTTATTATTAAAACAAATATATTTATATTTGTATCAGTACTTGTAGCAGAGGAGTCACAGTCAACATTCAGTCAGTGACAAATATTACAGCTTCTGTTTCTTTTATGAATTGTTGAGATTGTTGTTAAATTGAAAAGAGAAGACTTATATTTGTTGTAAAAAACTATATTTTTATTCAATTTTTGTTATGAATAAACTACTTTTCTAATTCTTATCTTTTTTATTTATGACGGTACACCAATGAGTAAGTTATTCTTAGGAGTACATGTTAGAGGTTTTAGCCTAGAAAGTGTGACAGTATAACCAAACTCTTCAGCTAAGCGGGCTCTATCAGAATCTATCACTGCCATACATAAATCTCCTCTCACTGTCAGAGGGTGTTCTTCATGTGTTTGGTCAGCAGCATGACCAATACACAGATACTGATCAATAGACACACTCTTAAATGTATTGCTACGTGGATACACCAGTCTATCAGTGGAGTGCAGAGAACCATAACAACAAGGGCATAGAACAAACTTGGAGTTCGCTTTTAAACACTTATCCAGCACCAAGTCACTTGCGATGCCACATGCATGCAAGGCAATACCTATGTCAAATTTACCAACAAAAAAGTCTAAATTACATTGAAAGAAGAAAACATTATTCAATTTCATTTCGTGGACTCTTGCCCTTGCTCTAATTAGCGACTGTTCTTTATTTTCGAGCAGTATAACAGTACATTTTGGAAGTAAATGTGCAATCAGGATTCCCAAATGACCACTGCCACTACAGAAATCTACTATTTTATCCCCATCCTTAGCTATACTCAATACAGCCAATGCAAGATTTTCAAGTTGTTGTGATTTTCTATTTATTCTGGCATCAGGTAAATGACCTGCTGCAGGATTTGCACCATTGGGGATATTTTTCCAGTTCCATGTCATGTCAAAGTTGTTAGTTGTGACATTAATTTTCATGTCCTCTTTTAAAGCACTTAATGCATTTTCTATGTCAACCTCTTTTGTAAATAATCTTTTCTTTGGATTGTGTCTGGTTGGATCGCACTTATATAGACTGACACCTTCAGTTACTGGAACTGTTAAATTATCTAAACAAACCTTTTCATAATCAACTTTGTTGGTAATATCGTTTATTACTTTAATTTCAGGTATATCATTTAAATTTTTATACCATTTCAATGTTAGGGGTAAGAGAGATTCAAAAATAGGTATTCCTATGCTTCTTATCAATATTCTATAAGTTGGGTACAAGACTAAATCAGCTAGAGTAAAAAATGGACCTTCTGCAAACTGGTGAATCACATCTAAATCTTCGATTGGAGTTGAACTATCAATTTGCAATTCTGGTTTAACCTTGGACTTCCATTTTCTGGGCTTGGATAACCTTATTTTATTTTCCTTTTCTTCTTTTGAATTTTTATCCGTAATCTTTAGCTCTTCTATTTTCAGTGTACTATCTTTTTTTAGTGTTCTGGCTATTTTGTATACATTATGCACTCTAACAGGTTTACTCAGGTGGTTTTCAAAGCGAACTAAATGTATGGGTAAGTGTTCCAGCTTCTCACAAGTGAGAATTCCTTGTAAACTTTTTATAATATCTATCTCACAAAATTTTGTCCAAATGGACACTTCATTTGGAGCTTGTAAACAACTTTTACGAAAACCTAAAATACCCTCATCATGTTCCTTGCAATTTTGAGGAATCGTCTTGTACTTCGCTATATGTCTAGCCACTGCGCAGAGACCAGTAATAATAGTATCTTCACACATTACTACAGGGTAAACACACGATGAAACTTGCCAGGGTATTGCCTTCTTTTCGGCAAAATGTAGACTGCTCTCAGTGATCTCTACAGCTTTGTTCTCTGGATGTCCTTCCATTGTAACAAGCTGTAACTTAGTTTTTTCAGGGCAGCAATATTTGTATATACAAAATATAATGTAGGACTCTAAAGACATAGAAACTTTGAAAGATCGTTCGTAGTCTTCAAGATCTGTGTATGTTTCAAGGAATATATTATTCTTCATGATTTCAATGTCTATTAAATGGTAGGTATAAAAACGCTTGATAAAATCCACTTTCAAAAGGACTTTCAAATTCCTAAAATAATAAATTAATCAGTTTAACCAGATCCACACAGAAGGATTGAATCTGAAATTCTTCTAATGAATTCTGTCAATTTCTGACTGACAGTGCAGTAACAGTGGTGTCAATTCTGGCGTGATTATCTAAACTTAAAACTAAAAAGGTCAGTCTCACCTTTTCATTCTGTATAGAGAAAAACAAGGATGCACTGTTGTCAAATTTAAATTTAGCTTTAGAGAATCATTCATGCCTCATCAAATCGACATCATTGACACTATTGACTAAGGGTGCGGCCAGAGTGCACTCAGATTCAGAGTCAGATTCAGATTCTGAAAACAAGCGCGAGAAATAAACAGTGTAGTCGTAGGGTACGGCCAGATTGCACTCCTGATTCAAATTCAGATTCAGACTCAGAAAACAAAGCGCGAGAAAAAGCAAGCAACCTGCTTAGACTACACTGTTTATTTCTCGCGCTTGTTTTCGAAATCTGAATCTGACTCTGAATCTGAGTGCACTCTGGCCGCACCCTAACAGTGACCCACAGGCTACAGTGACCATAAAGAACGTAAGTAGTTTAGGACAGGGCTGAAGAGATGAGCACAACCGATTATAATTATTTCTTTTTTTTTCAATCCGAATCCGACTTTGATCTGGTATATTAGCATGACGGACACGCCGTGATTTATTGTGCGTGTCTGTGGAATGGATACCGGGAGGCGAGCTTTCTTCCACAACTTCCACTAAATCAGTCTCTACGGCCGTTTTCGAAAGCATTTTTCAAAACCAGTTTCAAGAGAAGAATGTAATTCTAGTTCCGAAACTGGTTTCGAAAAAGGAAAAATATTTCTGCTTTCGAATCGGGTTGCTAAATAAGAAATATGTTTCTCTTTACGAAACCGGTACCAAAATACCTTTGTTCTTTTGCTCTGTATAAAAATAAATTTGACTAAGCACTTCTCAATATGCCTGTATCTCTACTATGACCAGAACTTATCATCGATTTTTTGTTATTCATATACATTTTAATACTAAAAGAGGCAGATTTTCAAGCACTTGTATCATATGTTAAAAGAGAAGTTCGCTTTCTATATGCAGTATTTGGGGTACGCTGCCACGACGCCAGCTCCAAAGGTTATTTATAAGTCTTGTTCTATATCTTTGTTCCTGTATGAGCTACGATTATGAAATTTTGCATAGAGTGGGCACTATTAAAGCACGTGAAAACTTGGTTGCATAACAATAAGTCGTTTTCGAGAATAGTGTATGCTATCTTGAACGTTACGCCAGTGTACACCATGAGCAGTTATTATTTCCATAACTAGAGGAAGAGATTTTGTAATACGCTTTAATTTTTATTAAAACACTAATAGGCATTATTTAATAGCATAAGTAACAACCTCGAACTTGATGTAGTGTACGCTAGCATGACGGACACGTTAATGACCTATCGGATTCATACATTTAGTACGTTTTGAGTGAGAACGCTGTCGACACACATCGACACAAGTATAGTTCGAACCTAACCGTGTTAAACTGATAGCTCTCTCTGATGCGTCACAAGTCACAACACGACACATAAATATATTTCTGTCTTAATACTAATGTATTCAGTGGTGAACTCATGAAGGTTAGAGATGTGAGAAGGGTACTTTTCCAATTACAGCACTAGAGTGCATTATGCGGCATAATTCTTAACCTTTAATGTTCCACTACAACAACGCTTCGCACAATCGAGCACTCTCAAAAGTAATGCTTTCGTGTGATGCGTGCAATCGTACCAACTCAGAGATAGAAAATTAACAAGTGTTTTTTCTTTAAGTTGGCATTGATCGAAATGTTTTATTTATTTGTTATCGTTAGTAATATTATTTATCGTTGAAAAGCTATCGTTTCACTATAGCATTTTATTTAAATAATCAAAGTTAATTCAAACTGTGTTGAAAAAATAAATATAAGTATGGATGAAGGGTACACACATTGACTTTTTTTCAATACTGAACTTAGCGCACTCTGCTGGTGCATTTGAAAACTAATTCACGTTCCAATTAAATTAAGCATCAGAATAATTCGGCATTGTGCGCCACTGAGTCACATTATGTTCTTTAATTGGAAAACAACCAAGGAGAACGATCGCCACGTACTAAAGCATTAGCCCGCCTGAAAATTTGTAGAATTTATAGTTAATTTTTCAGTCACCAGCCGCGCTGCCGTCGGTGTTTGGGCAGGCCGAGAAAATAATAAACAATACCACCCCGGACAAGATTCTAACCTCCATGGGTGAACCATAGAGGTACTTATACCTCTGCGTCGGATTCGTGACGTCATTACCACTGACCAGTATACTGATGTATATTTCAGAATACACCCGGGGTGAACTGGTGACCTCTAATTTGACGTTCGTTCATTCACTCTTGGATCACTCATTCACTCCCGTTTGTGGTTCATTCACTCACTTTGACAAGTTTCTATAGATAATATAATTATTTACATTTATTTTTGTTATCTCTAGTTCATGTATTGCATTGCAATAAATTTAATATCCTATTTTTATGAAGCACAAGACGTAGGGTAATCTTATATTAAATTGAGGTATTATTTAATTGAAATGTTGGAGGTTATAAACGGAACTTTGATGCTATATTTTGTTGTGTTGTGCACATTCAATGTATTAATTTCTCATTTAGTAAAACCTGTAAGTATCTATTTGCATATTATGTACTTATATTTTTCCTTCATTTTACAGTTTTGTTTAATTTAGGACATGATTTTATTATAATATATTATATTAAGATTATTTGGGACAAAACACTGTTCGCCTTATTACAAAACGTGGACTAAAGTTAACCCTGGACTAAAACTCATGCTGTCACTTTTATTTGATAAAAAGACAGAGACAATATTGGGTTTAAATCAAGACTATCTTTAGTCCTCTTTTTTTAATAAGCGGGTGTAGGTCTACTATTACAATGTGTTCTTATTAGATTGCAGCATGTTTTAATAAACCATCATATGAAGAAAAAAAAATATGGGACGAGATAATAAGACTTAAAACAGACCAGAAGCAAATATCCATGAAGGATGAGTTTGCAGCATATTCGAAGTTACAACGTCAAATCAACAAATTAGAAGTGCAACTTAAAGAGGACACACAGTCACGAATGAGTAAAAGTCTAGCTGTAAAAAGCTCAGTCCAAATTGTTCTCCAAGTAACATTGGCATTAGTGACTGTAATATCAGTCATTTGGTTTCGGCGTGAACCAATAGTAACCTTAAAAACTAATCTCTTCCCTTTGACTACTTTTTTGAGATACCCTAGTGATATGCCTAATGCTATATCAACCCATATGTGGGTATTAATTTCAAATATTTCATTGAGGTCTTTATTAAAACCAATTATCTAGATATAAAATAATTATAAATGCTTTCATATGAAATAAAACAATCAAGCTGATAATAGTCTATTTATTTAAAGAACATAATAAAAAGAATTAACTCAGTCCAACTGTTTCCCTTTTTATTTTAAAGAAATATCTATCAAAGAGGCCAATTTATCAATCTCCTGTTCTAAACTCAATCTAACTAGATTTCAATGTAAATTACTATTGCAACACTAATGATTGCACTTTCAGATGCCAATCAAATGTAATGTTTGTTAAAGTTACATGTACAAGACACTGCTATTATAAAGAATCATAAGTCAGTTTTAATTACGCATACAATAAATTGGCACCTGTGTTATACAAAAATAAACAATATTTATTCAGGATATTTTCTGTTATTTTTTGCCATGACACAAAAAGATTTAAAAAAATTCAATTGGTACTATCTGGAAATTGAATAATCATTTTATGTAACAATAATCTGAAAATTTTAAACTTTCACATTTGACAAACTTATTATAAATTTTAACACAAAAAGCAACACTTCAGTAGTCTAATCTGTCAATTATACACTTTTATATGATTTTTTTCGTTTACATTTACCTACACAAACTAAAATACATCAAAAAGAAATAATTATGATATTTTGACAAATTTATGCAATGTTTTTAACACATTAAAAGCTTCTTCAAACTTATTATTAAAACTATATTTTAAGCAAGCATTGATCCATAAAATCTTTATTAATTAGAATTTTTTGAAGAATTACATATTAGTACAGTATAACTTGTTTACTGTCATCACAAAAAGTGCCTCTTTATGGAATTAAAAAACTAATATTTACAGGCTCTATATCACAGCTTAAAACTTACAAAGTGGGCTTAACTATTGTGTAAAGAAGGAAAAAATTTGACAAACTTCAAAAAATTGCATGGCAACAATCTTGTATAATATAAAAAAATAATGCATCATTTTGTGCTTATTGAAGTTTAAAAATCCAAAGAATATATTTTGATGTTTAAAAAAGTAATCAATGGAATTTGTCGTTTCCATTTATTTCTTTTTTATTTTATTTAACAAGTATTAGTAACAATAAACAATGTAGTTTAACAAATTTAAATATAATATCTTGAAACATTATGACCATAATCTACTTTGATCCATTTTTTAAATCTTACTATATGGCCTATATTAAAATAGCTTTCAAATCTATTATATTGACTAGTGATTATTGCAGCCAAATTGTAAGATACTATTTTGATGGTGATATGGAAAATACTCAAATGACAAGTACCTCTGCAATCAAATAAGTTGGCTGACGTCATTATAATAGTCTCATTCTACTGGGAAAGATAATCAGAACTAATCATATTAAGCAACCCTGATGTTACTTTAACAAGTCCAATTTTTCTACATAACGCATGTTTAATTTATTTGTAAGTGAAAAAGCTCTAATTAGCAACTACATTTGCCTACTTCTCTAAATAGATATATAGATGTTAATTCCAGCCCAGTACTACAAGAATTTTTCAATGAGACTAGAAATATGGCTAAATTAGCAGAAACTGATTATAGTAATTTTATATTTTAAATAGTATAAAATTATGATCATGATTAATAGATTTGGTAGGAGTCTTGTTGACAATTTCAAAGGATAAACACTTTGTAGTAATTTAGTCAATATTATAGTAAATAATAATTTAAATGACTTACATCCGACATTTAATGTGCGTAAAGTTCTCTTTGTACATTATATACTTAAGTATGACCAGTAAAGTGACAAATAGCTTACATTTTTCATATTCATCAACGAAAAACCTAAGCGAGCATGCCAATCTATAACTATTTACAACAATAATCAACAATGTCTAAGTAAATCAGTCACTTCATGTGTGGCACAGTGAATAATTCACTACAGTATTATTCTTACAACTATTAACACGCTTAATACGAAAACAAAAAGATTCGACTGAACAATTACTTCCCCGAGGACGAGGTAAGCTCATGAGTCTCACACAAGGTAGCATCGCTTTTGAAAAGCAAGCATCTAAATTATGGTTTACAGACTCTTATCATATCTTAGCTGCGTTCGTTATTTGCGCCTGATCAATATTTAAGTCTGAATCGTTCGTTTATTACATCTAGAGTAAATCTGAACCGTTCCGTAATTCTGCTCAGATCAGTCCATTGTATAATCTGTTTGTTCGGAATATTTTGACCGACGAGAAAGATTAATATCTGGTTCTCTCATGTTGTGAGGTTAGAAATCAATCTACGGTTGGTCGGGCCGTTCGTTAATAGCAATTTACTCAGATTAATCTGTGATCACATGACCAAAAATCCGTCGCCAATGCGAAACAAATACCGAACTTAGCTATGTTAAAGCGAAAGAATCACGGGTGTCCTACGCATTGCAATCAGCTGCTAAGTGTTTTCATAGAAGGAACTGTTGAAATGAGTGGTCAGAAGGTAGACGACGGCTTCGTATGTAGACATCATGATCGCTGTGTTTGGTATTTGGCGAACCAGTTGCGTGCCTAAGCCCCTATGAGTGAAGAAAAACAGAATTAGTATTTATCAAATCGCAAATACATAATATCGATTGTCATAATGTTCTATTTATCCAGACATTTTTTGGGTTTATTGGAATCTAAATAAAATAAAATTTAACGAATCTGTTATTACATTACTTACTTCAAAGTTCAAAGTACATTTAACTAAAGAACAAATAGTAAGATATTTATAACTAAATTATATTTGTTGTCTTTGGATGAAATGAAGGAAGAGAGTTTCAATAAAAATCTAAACAGATAGAATAATAACGGTTGATAGATTCTGAGCACAGACTCAGAAGCGTCAAATTAGTTTAATGCTTCATTAAGTCACATGGCTCATTCTATTGTTATCGCAAAGAAAGAGAGCACTGCACTTTAATCACATTTAAAACTTTGTTCAGATTTCTAGGTGCGGATGTATGACTAATCGCGTGAACTCTTGAAAGATACACTTAAATCTCACCTATAAACACCGCGGTACCCCTCTTCCAACCACACAGTGTGCAGTGTTTGCCAAAATTTGCGATATTTGTCGCCTTCCTCCCTTAGCCGGGTCCTCGCCACTTCTGTAAAATTATAAGTATTTTTAAAATAAAATGTTTCATCATATCAACATCATAATCAGCCGGTGGGCTTCCGCTGCTGGACATAGGCCTCCTCTGGGGATCTACAAACACAACGGTCCTGAGCTTTCCACATCCAATGGGTCTCCCCGACTCGCTTGATGTCGTCAGTCCACCTGGGGGCCATTCGCCTAAAGGGATTGCTATGGCTACCACTATCGCTTACGATTTCATTTCGATATTTCTGGCCGCCTTTCTTTTGCTTTGGTAATAATTATATTAAAGAAAATGAGTGTAAGGTATTTGAAAACCTTCGGCGGTCAGAAATAACAAAATGAAATCTTAAGCGATAGCGTTAGTCTTAGCAATCCCGTTAGCCGATTAGCCCCCTGGTAAGGGGTCTACTTACACTACGCTTCCCGGTGCGAGGTCGCCATTGAAGGACCAGCAATAAAATGTTTGAAATATGTAAATCCGTTTCCAATTTGAAACATGAAAATATCCTCCAAATGACAAAAAAAATAAGGGAGTATAGTAAAGTTTCATAGTGTCACAGGTAAATAGACATAAACGCCCATCATTCCCAGTAGTTCCATGTAACTAGTTTCTTATGAAACTACTGCTACTCACTAGCCATATCTATTGCAACAATTAATTAACCGGTTGAATCACAAGTGCGCGCTGAGACTAAATTATGAATAATTCGGATAAACTTTATTTCTTTATGTGACGTCGCTATTTACGGGTTTTATATAAATTAGGACAACGCAACTGTTCTTAGAACGCTTATCATAAAATAATAATAGAAATTTAAAAATAAAATTGCGCTACAAGGGATGACTCAAGCAAAATATTGTTGTTTACGATCTTATTACAAAAAAAAATGGGTTATCTGTGGACTATTCAACGAGATGTGTGGATGGTCAAACATGATCTCTACCCAAATATAAAGACGGTGCTGAAAATTTTGGCAACTCTTTATACTATTACTAGAGAAGGAGGGCAAATCGTAAGTTTGGAGAACCCCTCCAAAATTTCAGGCTGCGCACGCGCCTGATGATGTATTAGAACAAACTCAACCTTCCTTATTGTCTCGTCAGCATAAGCAAACAGTGCATCCGCTGCTTCTATTCCACCCTGGTACCTTGGGCCAGCTATATTCTTTCTAGTAATTTTAATATAAAGCATCACGCCTGCGCCTAATTTGATTTCTCACACAAACTTTCACCCCCTTAAAAGATGAATTCTGGGATAAGAACTATCTCAAGTCCTTCCCCTGGAAATTTATCACTACATCAAATATCATCTAATGCGAAACGTCAATAAATAAATAAATAAAGTTTCGTGCATTAACCCGTAAAAACTAGTTTTATTTAATGAGTGATGTGCGTGAAAACCTAAGAAACAAATATCATCTAAATCAGTTCAGCGGTTTAAGGTTAAGCATAAAAAGGTTACGGACAGACACACTTTCGCATTTATAAATTTAGTATGGAAACTAAAACTTATCAGGTGGACAGGCGCTGCAAGGCGCCCCTGTCTTAGAGAAAGCCTCAGCACCCATAAACTCGAGGAAGTCCCTCGGAGAGCGCATTCGGGGATAAAAACTATCCTTTGTCTTTTTCTCCGGCACTCAAACTATCTCTAGGCCAAATTTCATCTAAATCAGTTCAGCGGTTTAAGCGTAAAGAGGTTACAGACATACACACTTTTGTATACATAATATTAGTATGGTCAATAAAACTTACCATGTGGATAGGCGATGCAAGACGCTACGGTCTTAGAGAAAGCCCCGGCGCCCATGAACTCCAGAAAGTCCCTCGGGGAGCGCTGGTCACTGGGCACACCGTCCACACTCCTGGCAGCGACCAGTCTAGCCTTCACTCCCTCGTACAACACGAAATGAACCACGGTCTCACTGATGCCCATGTACGATGCCGTTATGCCCTTGTAAAACCCTCTTATGCCCTGAAACAACGGATCGAGTAGCCATTAGGCCCGTATTATAGAAAGATTCTCAGTAATTGATCTAGTCTTGAGCATAGGTAGAAAGGGATGTCGCTATATATAGCACATAGCGCTATCTCTTTCTAACTGTACTCAAGTAAAGATCAACACTTGGTTGTCATTCTGCAATACGGACCTTAGAGTTGTCACTTGATTCTTTTGCAATAAGTAAGGTGTGAGTGAAAGTGGCCACTCACCAAACTGACCGTGTATGGGGAGACATTTTGGAAGGAAATACCACTTGACGAAAGAAATTTGGATTGATCAATCGGCATGATCGTGAGTGGCCCCCATGATACTCGTACCCCCCTTATTAATAAACGAAGGATAAGCTTGGATCAGTTACTCTATGTTTTGTCTCTGTTCATTTAATTACGAATGGCATACGAGTGATATGAACAAAACACGGCGTAACTAGTGTAAGCTTATTCCTCAATTGCTAAATCGTAATACATGTAAAATAAACCTAATCGAACTTAATGCAGATGTAAAACATGAAAATAGAACTATTTTCCAAAAGAACAGTGCTTGCGTTTGGCTATTAAAAAATGTCTCTGCGCCATGGACCGTTGTTTCATGGTACACCTGAAACAACGCGCCATGTAGCGCATCATTTAACCCCTGAAATGACAGATGCTTCTCTAGCAAGTGGTAAATTCGTGAATCGTGAGTGATACTCGTAGCGTCTTTATTTGTGGTAGTATAATGATTATGCTTGTTGAGCATTGTTTTTACAAACTACTTATATATTCAATTTTAAGTAATAATAAATCAATTCAATCCCACCCATTTCTAGGAATTTGATGTCATGTTTTCTTTTTTGTCTCAAAATTGTTTATGCAAATGTCGCAGTTAAACATGATATAGACTTTTGAATTAGCAATCTTTTGCATGTAATTACATTTTACTTAAATGTTACATTCAAATACAATTAAAAATATAATAGAAAATACCGTTCTCGCGTATATCCTTTTGATGCACTGTAGTGCTGTTACGTTTTGGCCATCTAATTGTAGCCGTGTCTTGACGAACCATATGGGATTGGTCATTGTGCACGATACAAAACCTGTAACGATAAACTATTTTTTCATTTGTTCTCATTTAAATACTAAACCAATTTTAATATCCCTACAGGAGCAGAAAAATAAAAGATAACCCCTGTAATCATAATTTAATACCTGCAGATTACAATCTTTACAATGTCAAATATTATTCAAGAAGGTACATAAATACTGATAATAATATAGTCAAGGTAACAGTTTTTTACTCGTGTATTTCAGAAGGTGCTGCCATATTGGTTGCTTAGAGTAGTCAAGTCAGTAGTCGGTAACAAATGAAAAGGAAAAACAGTGGAGTACTTGTACGATGATGGCTGATTGTAATACTGAATAGGCAATTACCTGCAGCACTTGCTGCTGAAAGATGTACTATGGGTGTATCAGGTGGGATGTTTTGGTTTAATATCGCCTTTGCTTGCGAATATGTGCAGAAGTATATGGCTCTCGAAGGCGCCACACCCACGATGTTTGGTCCAAGGCCTTTGAACAAAGCTTTCGGTCCTTCATTTTGAACTATGTGTCTGGAAAGTTAAAAAATTGCGATCAAGGTTAATCAGTCACCTTTGAACCCTGTTACCACTGAGCGTAACTGATAAAGCCGTTGACGTAAATGGCAATTGACTCGTTTGAAGATAATGATGTGGTGGTGTCAACATGCAGCTAAGAATAAATTTCATTAAGAATGTTAAAGGTAATTTTAAGATTACGGCAAGGTATCGTAATACACGTGACTTCAACTTAAGAATAAAATCTAACTAAAAAGGCCAACTGATAAAATGATAAGCGTACAGCCAATATTAGCCAAAGCTGCTAATCAGAAAATATTTGGCCAACCAATGGCTCGACTGTAAATGCGTCTCACGAGTACTTCTCGTGACAATCAGTAGGAGTATTTAATTTCTTATCTATTAACATGTAAGCGATAATATTGTCAGTTTCAAGAGATTTCCCATTCGTTGGTGGTATAGGCACTGAATTTTTTCGGTACTTTTCCTTCGTAATGATAAAAACGTTATAGAATATACAACTCAGTAAGGGTAGTATAATAAAAATCGATCAGCACGCAGCGGTCACGTTTTATCTTCACATAATCAATTCAAGCACGCAATGGCTCCAAGCCAATAATGTCAATCACATGGATTTATCATATAGAAAAAACTAAACAAGAAAGTTGAGCTACAAATATACACATCAATATAGCTGAAAACCAATGTTGTTGCCGCGGAAGATTAATTGAAACATAGTAGTATTGCTATTCTTTTTACGTGTTTTAGAGTTATATCAATCTTATTTTGAAGGACGGAAGCGATCTAGTATTTCAACCTACTGGACATTGTAGATTTTGAAGTTAACAGTAAGGACTCACCTGATGCATTGGATGAGGCTCATTCTGGACGTAGCCCTGGCGTGGCCCACCGTCGCACACTGCTGTACCTGACAATTGTAGGACATCAGCATGCGGTCGGCTTGCTTGCTGTATGCGAACATCGCGCCCATCGTACGTCTGTAGCCCCATTTGGCCTCCTGCATTACATGGCTGTATTACGATTGTACCATCGCTTGTGTCAAGCTTACATGCGTCTAATTTATTCGATGTTACGTTAGCGCTACTGTATTAGATACATTGATGTACTAACATACTTTCGAACCTAAACTAAGCTAAAAACGAATGTTAGTAGAAATTAACACCTGTTAAATGGGTGAACTAAAGGTCCTAGTGCTTGATATGATGCACATTTTATCTACAATGTTGTGCTTATAGAGCGCGCACTTGAATCAACGTTAGATATAACATAGCCTACTGAGCACATGATTTGATGAAACAAAAGCGTCACTATTGCTATAATAAGATTGCTTTACACAAGTGATGGAAACCTTGTAATATTGCTAGGGGCCAATGTTTTCATACGGTTATTATTAAAATGTAAATCAAATCGAAATAAGAAATAAACAAAATACATTTAGTTATTATAATAGAGAGATATAGGATTAAAGAACGCATCTATATGAAGCTGCTTTATGTTTCAAACAAATGAATAATAACCAATTTATTGTTATTGCCTTATTAACTCAGTAGAGTTTCTTATTATGTCGTGTTCATAGAGACGAGAGCAAAACGTATAATATAATGGTAAGTTTATATAAATAGAATTTTATTATTATGTAAATAACATAATGGCTGGTCGTTATGTTGTTTACATAATAATATATTGAAGTCAAGTTGATTACAAAACCGTACCAAGTAAATGCATTCTTTAATATAGGTAACTATTATCAGCCAATCATATGCAGGTGGCGCCATGATGTGTATTGTGTATTTCTAAGTTTAGACGGCCTTGAAACTTCGTTAGGTTCAGTACAATCATCTAATGACTTTGTGTAAGGTCGTTTCATAGAGAATTGCGACTTAGATTATTTTATGAAAAGATAAAACCAACAATTTAAAAGAAAATATCATCATGTAACCCAATAGCTAGATACAAATAAAACAGATAAGTATATTATGGTTATACAATTTAATAAGTTTAAACCAAATATTAGAATTAATAATTCAATTGTTAAGAGTTGTTAGAACAACAATATAATTATTACTGGTACAGGATTACCTAGTTTGGGGTCTATTCTGTAAATCGTATATGCTGTGTAATATTTTGGTAATAAAGAGTTATTATTATTATGAAGTCCTACCTACATAATAAGAAGTGGTTTTAGAGAATGAATCAACAGATAAAGCATGCAGATTTATCTTTATGAGTCTATTGACATATTTATTATGCTTGAAAAAAAACATTATAAACAACTGCTTTAAAGACGGCAAAGATTTCTTCTTAAAACACACTAAATTAAGTGTCATTATTTATGCATGTATCATTGTATGTATTCTATCCGTTACCCTAGTACCCCATATCACAAATCTTTCAGTGATTACTTTGGGGCTAGGCTAATTGGTGTGTGTTAGAAATATTTATTTGTATTATAAATATATATATATTATAAATATATACCGCTAGTCCATAAATAATTATGGACTAGCGGTTGACTGTATGACAGGCAGAATCACACAGGAAGCTAAAATTTTTCGGGAAAAAACTATCCTATGTCTCAATCCAGGTCATAAACTATATGTGTACTAAATAGCTATATGAGTTCATATATAATATAATTGTATTCTTCAATTACGTATGGAAAAAAATCCATCCCTTTTAAATTACAATGCCAACAGTCATCAATTTATTCATTTAGTAAAAATATATAATAAAATACGTGCTTTATGAACTGCAGTACTTTTTATATGTTCCTTCAAAGAAAACAAGACCAATCTTTCTTGGCATATGAACTGTAAGCAGTAGCACCCAGTAGTCTAATTGGCCGATTGCCAATAACAGGTCACTAGCACTGCCTCTATATTTTGTTTTTAATTCATGGTTAGGAAGTCTAGAATAGGAATTTTGAACAGGTGTTCAAAAACAAACACCACCTATAAACAAAGGGTATTGCAATATAATATCCCGTTTGACAATGATAATAGCACAGCGATATTATAACTGGTAAAGTACCAATATTGTTTTGTGCACGCGTATTGGATATCATATACTTTACATGACTTTGAAAAACAAATTAAAGATAAACAAACTCTAAATCTAGAGACAGACTTGTAACATTTTGGTGTAATGTATCGAGTTTTTGTAACTCAAACCAAAGATCGACTTTAACGTTTGTTTGTAATGTATCATTCGTGTCTAGCGCCGCGTGTTGCACTCGACCGACGGTTCTTTCGCGATTCCTTTTTTTGATTGTTACATTTACTGCCTAGTGAGCTGTTGGTTTCAAAGAATACTCATAAAATTCATATCTGGATGCTTATTTTCTTCTTTTTAAAATAATTATAACTCCGTTGAATTAATGAAACACACACAACCTATACCGTCAGCTTTTTTGAGAAAAAAATGAAGCAGACTCGAGCCAAGAGCTCAAATGATACATTACAATCATAGATAAATGGTGTCGCTACACTCCACATTACAATTTACAAACGAATACGCTACATGTGAGTTTGTGTCACCGTCTTGTAACAAGATCGCTTCGAATAGTACATCACAAACAAATGATACAAGTGAGTCTTCAGCTTAATGGCAATGATAAAAAGAGAGATCATGATATTTTTAGTCTTATGTTATGCTAAGTATGTGTGAATAACATTCTTATGCTCAGAAATATAAAAAGATAACATATTAAATAATCGTACAATACTCTGTCCGCCGCTTTGAAAAAATAATTTATCGCATATGAAATAGCCTAATATCAATAATTTAAAAGCAAAATTATGATAATTAAAGTGGGAAATTAGCGGTGCTAACTAGTTTTTAGATAATGAGTAAATTAGTAATTATTATCGTATTATAACAAACTGGCTTTTATTTTTGAACCTGATTATCCTCAGAAATAATTTAGTAGATAGTTGTGTTAAGCTATCTTTAAAAATTGCGTTATCAAACTCATGTAGTAAACAATTCTAAATGAATTTCTTTTTTATAATAAGGAAATTAGTCACGTTCATGTACGTTCACGTTCTTACTGCGTACATAGCACCTACTCAGACCCTCCAATGACATACCTACTTAGACCTAAAAATAACATTCTATTGACAGAGTTATAAATCACGTATTAAAAGTTATTCTTCCTAACTGGTGCCGTGCTCATAAGCCTGAAATGTTGGTTGATAACGAGCTCGATGGAGCAAGTGGTTAGCGCGTTCGGCTGCGATCGTTGAAATTAAGCAACTTTCGCAGTGGTCGGTCATTGGATGGGTGACCAAAAATTTACTATCTCGAGCTCCTCCGTGCTTCGGAAGGTACGTTAAGCCGTTGGTTCCGGCTGTATCTACAGTCGTTAGCACCCACCAATCCGCACTGGGCCCGCGTGGTGGGTCATGTCCCAATCTCCCTATTCCATTCATAGGGAAGGCCTGTGCCCCAGCAGTGGGGACATTAATAGGCTGATGATGATGATGAACGACAAATATTTTTCAGATTTTCCAAACTTGGTTAAAGCTAGAAATTTTATGAAAATACAGATTTATAGTAATTATTTGTAACATTGTGAGTTCAAGTTTGTTCATGGACAGGGATACAAGGAAACTAAAACACAAAGCGTGTTTTGTACTCATAAGTCAACCATATTAAATATCGTTGCTATTAGTACCTGCTGATACTAACATTGTATTTAACAATGGAGTATCTATGAAAAATAGTAACACAACTATTCTACCTATACGATAGGGTTACGGATCGTTGACAACGAGAAAAGATTCACCGATCAGGAATATAAAGCATACAAAATTGAGCTTTGCTGATTATTGCAGAATATAAATAAGTACCTACCTATACGAAGTGTAACTGGTATGTTAAATACTACTTTAAACTGGATTTCTCTGGCTATCAGAGTTATCAGAGAGTGTCTCGATCACGAGTGTTAATGATAAGGTTATTGTTATTTTGGCGATTGTACACAATATCAGTCGATAGTTTTCACAGAACTATTTTTTTCTGCATTTCTGCTACTTCGTGCGTAATAGATTCAGGAGACTAATGATTCGTGAATATTCCTAAGAGGGCATAAAAAATTAAGAACAACGTACTGCCCGCAACTTAGCAACTCATATCTTATCATTATTACCTTGGGAGTTGTAATCAATCATATGGCGCATTTTAGTTGATATAATTAAGATAGAAATGAATAAGCGTTTCTGTATTTTTTACTACAAAAAGAATAGGGGGTGAATCTTATATGTCAATTCGGATAGTCTGTCCGAATATTTTGTATCCGGGTCGTCAGCACAAACTGCGCCAAGAGATTCAACTGAATAACCCTTGGCGCTAACTGCTGAATGCCGCTGATTAACCTTCTTTAGCGGCGTTGTACACTTTTTTTGTAAGGGGTAAAAAATGTTAAACTCGCGTCAGGACACGTGACCTGATCGAAAATTCGTAAGACGGATGGATAGTAGACAGCCGGCGCGGCGTAGGAGAGGAAGTATCCGCCTCTCTTTCTACGGCGCGGCGAAAATGTATGCCTGCGCCTGCTGTCTCGTTTAGGCGGCGAAGGGCGCTTGCGCGAATGTTAAGGTGTGTTTATGTTACAGCGTGCCACGCGCATCCATGGATGGTGACAGCTGATGCCTCGACTGTCTGTGTAGTGTAATTTCCTAAAAAGTCGTCGGAATTATGGATGGAAGTTGATTTTTCTGAGGGATAAGCTTTTTTAAGTAATATAAATTGTCATGTTTGTGTACGATAGCGCAATAAATAAATATTGTATTCTACCGACATAAATGATAGTACTTTTGTACTGATAATTAAAGCAATTCGTGCAAAATTATTCCCTAAACATTCCAAAATATCAAAAATGCACAATGTTAATATTCTAGTTTTCACTTCTGCCTCCACTCCCGGAGTGCAACCCGTTTTTTTTAAAAGTAATAAGAAAAGATAACAATTTAAATTAAATTTTTAGCACATTTTACGAATAGGCATCACTTTTGGTCGACTTGTTCCGAAAAATATTCAAAGGAATCATCTGAATAAGCAGTCTCAAGATTCACAGTAGACATTTTACAGTAATGAATTCAATTGTGCATTCATTCAAAAGTGTCCCAAGCACTGATGAATCCTTATAGATGAAATTGAGCCAACATATCAACGACTTCGATCTGCTTCATTTCAATATTTATTTTAAATTGATTTTGAAAATTAGTATTAACATACCAAAGCGACAACTAAAGATATATTTTAAATACTATCATCAAGATTTTTGTGAGTTTCTCAAAAATATTTTTATTATATTATTGTGGCAATCTGTGACAAGACAACACAGATAAGACCTAGTACAAACTTGGAAAGACCCATAAACATAACTATGTATCTTTAAAACTCTGAAACTTGAGGGTCTTACCTCTTAGGGGACCGGGGAGGCCCCCGTCACAAATATTCAACTTCTATGATAATGATAATATAAATATATGAAGTAAGGACTTTCGTACTTCTTTTTATAAAGCTGATTATGCACAGTGCGCAGCGCAGGGGTATAAGATATTTTATATACTTATTCAAAGTTTACCATAATATGGAGAATAGTAGAGAAGACCTTTGTTACAATAAAAATTGTATAATAAATTAGTATGTCCACCAAGGAGGCAGAGACAATAGGGATGATGACGGGGTAAAGTAAACGAAATTATATTTAGTCTGTCAGTCGGTTAGATTATCAAACAATAATGGACATATTTTTTTTTCTTTCGTCAATAGACCAAAAAATTACAAAGAAAAAGCGCGTCTAAGTTTGGTAGAGGGAGGCCGTACGTCACTTCTAAGTAAAAATTGTAAGAAGACGTGACGTCGACGAAGAAACAGAAAAAAGTTAGTCATCATTCCTAAATGATGACTAACTTTTCTCTTTTTCTTCATCTATCAGGTAGATTATTAAAAAGTATTGGACATGTGTTTTTTCTTTATGTTATAATCAAAAAATAAAATTGCGGAGATATATTGATTTGAAATGTGGCATGACGTCACGTCTTCTTACAATTTTTACTTATATTATAAAAAAAATCGGTATTCTTTTAACTACTAGATCTAACATTACACGCTATCGATCTTCACTGGCTACTTCTTTACATTCAAAAAATAATAAAACCACTAAATTGTATGTATTACAATATTTACTGATATTGAGTTTACCTGATGTTTTGATATTTTGGAGCATATTTTTCTAGTGTTTGTTGAGTTGTTTGAAGGAGGCGGAGGACCCGCAGGTGGAATCCCCACTCCTTTAGACGATTGGAGGCGGGTTTTGACAACTTCCAAGGGGCATGTCACTACAGCTCCCGCTGTCCCGGCCACACTGTAAGTTATAAAAATAATTGAATGGAGAGAAAAATCTGCATTATTTTAATGACCACACATTATTGTTAATTTTAAAGTGAGCCTTTCAGGCTCACTTCAGGATACACTTACATAATTATGTAATTTTAAACTGTATAAACTAATTAAAAGAGATTACACATACACAATCACACACAAACGACGCTTTTATAAATGTTAATGTTGGTTTTTTTAACTAGTTATCAAGTTCGAGGTGGGGCGCTAATAACTGCGACACAGTCTCTGACTAATGTAGTTATTAACGTTTGTCATTGTATCTGTACAAACTGTTTAATTGCAAATAAAGATTATTATTATTATAATTTCTTATGTTTTCACGCACTCCAATTATTAACCTTTTAAACAGGTAAAAGAGTGTGTATATAATATTTATTTTCATTTGATGTTTCGGGCCATTTACAGACAAATAAACTGTCTTATTAACCGTACTCCTATAAGTTCAATGATAATCGGAAATTAGTGATATTTTAATTAGTGATACCTCGATGCGCTTTTTCCCCGATACGATATCGATACTTTTACTGTATTCGAAAATTAAGGCAAAATAAACCTTGATTGACCATTGAAGCAAATAGCTTATTGTGGTTGGATACGTGGAAGGAAAGAGGAGTCGCGGAAGATCACCGACGCGATAGACCGATGTCGTGAAGGAAGCCTGCCAGGGAACTCTACAGATAGACGTCAATTCGAAAGGCGGAAAACCAGTGGAGTGGAGAGCCTTGGTGCACTAAATGACGACCTCAAGTGGTCACGTCCCTGAGTCATGAGGAAGCGAGAACGAAGAAGAAACAAAAAACGTCAGGTAATTTTTTAAATTAATATAACGAGAACAAGTAACAGGGCAAGCCATTAAACCGTTTAATACTAAGACACTAATCTGTTTTTAAGTTGACAGACATGACTATTATTTATTTGGCTCAAAAAACTAGTTTTAAATGATATGCACATGCAAACTAATTTACATAACATACATATAACTCTTTTTTATTTGCATGACAACATACTACGTGCGACAACAGTCAACTTAGGGAAATGGGATAGTTAAATAAAGAGTCCATACTGGACGGGCGAAACAAGACACTGAATAAAACGCGGGGTTTTCCTGAGCATGGTAAGTAAGTAGACGAGAAAACAGGCACAGGAAAAATCGAGAAATTCAAAAAGTATCGTTGTTGAATCAGCTATAAAAATATCGCCGATGCCGATATATCGGCAAACCAGCCCCCCTAGCATGACTAACAAAACGCGATATGATAATGCGATTTATCGACACTCAACTGTCAAACTCTATTGTAATTTGACAGTTAATGTCGATAAATCGCTTTATCATATCGCGATTTCTTACTCATGCTAGGGGGGCAGAATTATCGCCGATATATCGGTATTGGATGCAGCACTAATTTTAATATAATATATTGTCAGGAATTCAAAGGATGATTTTATAGATTTCTCTGCCCATGTGAAATTGTATAGATATGCATAGGTCAAAGAAATGGTTTACATTTTTATCTTCAAACTTTATTAAAAGTTAAATATGATATTGTTACATGTTAAAAACATCACATGACTTTTGTTTGGTTGAAGAGAGAGATGAAAAGCCTCTGTTTAGGTTGACTCCCTCGTCCTCCCTTATCATAGATCGTTTACGCTAGTCCATGCGTTTTTTTTATTTTCTGTAGCTTAACAAGGCTTTGCCTTTTGGGAGGAACAAAAGGAAGAAACGTTTTTAACGTCACTTCATGACGTAATTTTTTACCTACAAGATGAGAATTTAGTAATTTTTATTAATTACATGTTGAACTTGTAAGTTTATCAATATTTTTTAAAGGTGTGTTTTTCTAAATTCAAAAAGTGTTTTCCTTTTAAATATTTTCTAATTTACATGTAGATTTTGTTTTAGCAGGAGACATAAGTTTTTTTTTTTTTTTGAGTGTGTATGCTGTTGGTCGCAGATGACCTTTACAGCGTCACCGGGTTTGGGGACGGCGAGATCCTAAGGGGACCTCAAGCCGAGAATTGGCGAGTGCCTCTGGAGGTATTCCAGTCGGATGGCGTCTCCCCGGGGGGAGTCTCCACTCCGTCTGGAGCCTCCAGACCACTCGAACCTGAGGGGGTCGGCTCAACTAGAGGGCGTCTCTGAGACTCGGACCTCGGCTCTAGTTAGCCGTTGTCGTGGGGGGCGGGGAAAAACGCCCAGGTACGTACCTGTACCTGGTATAGCGTGTCGTGTGTAGACCGGGTCTTCGCACTCTTATCCTACGGGTGCGGTGTCTGCCTAATGCTAAGCTAGTGTGCACGTTTGCTAGCTGTGTAGTGTTGGTGTTTGTGGCCTGTGTGGGAGGAGTCGGAGACATAAGTGGAGTTGTTTAATTTCTTTATAAAATGGTGTGAACTTTCAAATTTCTTTTGTTTTATACATTTTCTTTTGTTTTGTTCCATGTGCTTATCTGCGTACTGTTTATTTTAAACTGTAGGCTTTTTCTTTCATACTTTAGAGAATTTTATATTGGACCATGAAATTACGCTTTTTCATAACATGGGAGCAAGGCTTCCATTCATACATTAAAGTCAATACATAACAAAGATGCTGCGGGGACAGTAAGTGCATGTAAATATGTATTTAAGTACATACATACTAATTATGACAAAGGAAAATTCTTCCATTATGTAAAATTGAGGTAAAGATTATAAATATAAGAGGATAATTGGACCTAGCTTCCAAATTCAGAAAAATCATTGGCAAATTGTTGGAAATTTCAATATATAGACAACCCAAAGCGAGTTTGGATTTTCTTCAACCCCCTTGCGATTAAAAGTTCAATGCCATTCCGGAGAGTCTATTGAGGTAGGTCTGGGGCCGGAGTACTTTTTTTAATTTTATTCCGACCTAGCCATATTATTTTAAAATTTGGTATTAACCTTTATTTTTTTAATAATACAATATGTATGTAGTATTTTGTTTAACCTTTGGTAGAAAACACTTTTTGCATACATAAATAGTAACACTTGGCCGGTCATCGCACAAACTTTAATAATAGATATGTTGTCTTCAATTTAAAAAAACTATCTTAGAGCAAAATTCATTATTAATAATTAATTAATTAATATTAATATTTCCAACACTCACACCAATTAGCCTAGCCCCAAAGTAAGCACTGTAAGGCTTGTGTTATGGGATACTAGGGTAACGGATAGAATACATATACTTTTACATATATAAGTATATTTATATGGAAATACATATTAAACATCCATGACTGGAGTACAAATGCTCGTGTTCATCACACAAACATCTGCCCCCACCAGGATTCGAACCCGGGACCTCTCGAGTCGGCGACGCCATGAAACCCGGCGTACAAACCACTCGTCCACGGAGGTCGTCGTCGTATTGGAATCAACAGGAGCAAGTCCATGCAAATACTTTTCGATGTGATCTTGATGAAAGTGAAGCTTTTTTCCCCATAAAACTAACCATTTTCATTAGCAACACGGAAATATAACAAAAACAGCAAGTTACCATGACACATTGTTGAATGAGATTGATAGAGCCCCTTACATTTTTTTTTATTAATGTTTAATAGGCAAGGAGTTTGACCACAATCTCACCTGATAGAAAGCGATGATAAGGCCTAGTATGGTACAAGCCTGCCTAGAAGATGCCTGTTCACTCTGACCTTGAAAATGTATTCTATTATATGCGCATTCTACAGACTAAACCACGGCGAGTGTTCTGAGGAGCTATTCTCGCTTATCCCTCCATCACCTTTTCTTCAGAGGACCACGCGCGCTGGCCTACGTTGCCACCGTCTTACTGTGGCCACTATTCCTACACAAAAAAAGAAATTTGGCGACTCATTTCTTTGTCGTACTATTCGTAAATGGAATTCTATGCCCGCGCACGTGTTCCCTCCTTCCTATAATCTGGGGTCCTTTAAGAGAGGTGTGAAGAAGCATTTTTGCGGGCCGGCAAGGTGAGGATGGTTGGTGTAACAGTTTATAACTGCTGTACCAGCTATCTTCGCGTTTGGACTTTATCACCACTTAACATCAGGTGGGGTAGAGTCATTTGCCTACCTAATCATATAAATAAAATAAGTATTGCAATTAGAGAATAGTCCAAGCGATATAAAGATACAACATCAGCAACTAAATGTATTAAGACTTTTTTAAAGTGTTACGGTGACCAGTCTCCCGTGTTGCCTTCCAAATGTTGCATGATCCGATTGCTGTTTAAATGTTGTGATTTTTGTTGAAAAGTGTCTTGATGTTAACCTTACAGTACCTAAAGAAGCCTGAAGAGATCAGAATCATCTGATATGATAAGGCAAAGGAAAAACTAAAATATATGATGAAGGATTATCCCTTCTGTTAAATTCTCTTCAGTATCAGTCTTCTTATTCACTATCTTCTTATTAGCCATTAACTGTAGATTCCAATTAATCATTTAAAGCAGGGGTAAACTTTTAATTAATGATATTTTTATTTTAATCTGGATTTCATCACAGCCTTTGGCCATAATGTTTTTTGATCATTTTTGTAGTAGGCATGTAAGTAAAAATATATGTTTCAAATATAAATAGAGAGAAAGATTTATTCTAACAGAGAAGTGCTCATGGGCACATGTTTTTTTTTCAAAATGTGGAGCGTTATATTATACCTATGTGCTCATTTTCAAAAGGGTCTAAGCATTTATCAAGTGTTTTATGGTTGTGGTAGTGTTGGCGACAGACACTGGCCATGGGTCAACTCACATACTTTTAAATGTTATTTTTATTTTTTTATTTTTTTTTTATGTATGTCTTGTCATTTTTGTTTATTATTATTATTGTTTTATGTGTCAGCGTGGTGGAATGTTGTGTGCCTATTAAGTAAAAAGTTAATTTTTAAGCAGTTTCATAATTTTCATAATGGTCATGATCATAATAACAATCAATTTACACCATTGCTTAAAGGTAGTAAAAATTCTTAGTCTCTGTATATTATCTTCTTCCTATTTAGACTCATTTACTTATCTCAAACTTTGCCCATATGATGTCAGAGAGATTACAGTAGATGCCACAGTTAAGATAAAGTTTTCAGGAACCAAAAATTTTGTATTTTGTGTATATAGGTACTGAAGAAATGTTTTAATGATTATTTTTTAAATTTATGCTGACAATTAATTATCTAAAAAATAAAACTTTTTACAAGTTGTAATAATATTAATTTCTGTAGTAGTTTCATTTAGTGCATAAGGTTTTAATAAATTTTTCATGTGGCTAATTAGAAGCTTACCTAGTACTAATCTGATTTTGATCGACTTTCCGAAGTTATAGTAAACAACTCTTCGCCACATGTTCCAGTATCAAAATTATTACTGAATAGATAATGATTTGTAAGGTACTTAATAAGGTAAAATGTGCCTGAATTATGATATGATACTTACCCACCGGCTACCAGATGTATAGCTGTATCCTTTTGAGACATTTTAGCACCGCAGAAATAATTACATGACTGCAAATTGCGACTGTCTATAAATAAACAAATGCACCACAACTACTAATGGAATGTCCACAGAGGTTTTGATAGTGTATTATATTTGTATAACAATCCTACGCATTAATTCGAGCGTTAACACTGGTTTTTTTGTTGAATATTAATGATTATTCGCCGAAAATCTTCACAACAGCACGATGTGCACTTTAGCAATTTACTTCGTTCGTATCGTAACAATTCACGCATACATACAAATTAATACGTAACTACAAGATTCAACCGCACACAATTTTAAATGCGTACGTGACGTACGCCGCGAAGACGTAAACAACACCGGTTTCTAGGACAAATGATTGTCTTTTTTATTAGAAAAAAGTGTAAGTTTAGAAATACGTAGTAGACTTTATATAACATTATTTTTAAATAATTTTAAATTTCATAGTGCCTTAATAAATTTATTATTTTAGAAATTTAAATATATTAAATACTTGTCTGACTTTTTTTTTTTTTTTGGTTCTGTTCTTTCCGTTCATTAAACGGAAAAGGCAAAGACGACAAAATGCGCCATACAGCCAAGACTAAAAGTTCTTTTCTTCAAGTCTTCATAAGGAATAATTCGAAATCCAAGTTTAAATATCTTCTATAGTACTCTTGATGTAATTATACAGTGCCAAATAACATTGTGGGTTTTGGAGAAGTACAGGTAAGGAACGCGGGATGTTCTCGGCTGAATTGTAGATTTCAAGCAAACTATTACTGAGAAATATTCGTTGAAGAGCAAAATGAGGGCATTCGAGGAACAAATGATGAAGTGACTGACTTGAGAAGCTGCAGAACGAGCATGATGGGGAGGAGACCATGTTCATTCTGAATAAATGTTCGTTAAAGCGTCCATGTCCGAGTCGCAGTCTACATATTGTAGTGTAAAATTTTCGGTGAATAAAATTTCTCTGAGCAAACCACGGCTTTCTGATTGTATCATTAATATTATGATACCAAACACCTTTAGTTTGTAAAGTTTCATGCCAATGATCTAACCATGTCTTCTTTATTTTGTCTTTTAGAATTTCTACACAATCAGAATCAGGAATCTTTATGTTTTTCACAGGGACATTCTCAGCCGTGTTAGTTATAATCTTTGCCAGTGTATCTACTTCTTCATTACCGTAAACGCCTATATGTGATGGAGTCCAAAACAAAATGATGTCTTTTCCGTTTGTTGTAAGTTGACAATATTTTTCTCTGATCTCGTGTATAGTGTAATTGGATTTTGAAGAAAACGCTGGGTTTGATAAGGCTTGAAGTATACTCATGCTATCTGTTATTATGATCCATTTACTATGGTTAGATTTTGAAATATATTCTAAAGCTGCTAATATAGCTGTTGCTTCCGCTGTATAAACGCTACTTTGACTTGGTAATTTCAAGCCATGGCCAATTTTTGTGTACAAATCATAAAACGCCATGGAAACATTTTTGTTATACCTCGATCCATCGGTGTACAACTGTCTATATTCAGCCCATAAATTTAACTCGTTATAAACATCATATTTACAAGAAAGATCACTATTTATTACTATATTTATTTCCTGAAATTTACTTTTATACACACCTTTATAACAAGGCAACATATCACTAATATATACATTATTATCATCTATAATTCTCGAAATGTTATTTACACCATTATGTAAAAAGGAATTGGTATTATATGCACTAAGTTTATTTCTAAGTAAACTATTTTCTATAGACATCACTTTTAATAAAAATTTACAATTGAGAAATTCAAAACGTATATGTAAAGGGGGTAAATTACATTCTATTTGCATAGAATTTATTGGTGAGGTATTCATAGCACCTAAAATAATTCTTAGATTTTTATTTTGTATTTTTTCTAGTCTGTCTGTTAATTTTTTGTCAGACGCAAAACAAAAAAAAGCATATTCGAAATGACTTCTGACTAAAGTTTTATACAACAGAAGCAAAATTTTAGGATCGGCGCCCCACTGGTAACCAACAAGGGATCTTAAAACGTTGGTAGCCCTCATAGAACGGTCTATCAAACAATCGACATAAGCTTTCCACGATAGGTTTTGTTCAAAAATAACCCCTAAAAATTTTGTTGATTTCAATACGGGTAAAGTTTGACCGTTATAGAGTAATTTTAAGTTAGACACGTTTACAAATCTTTTCCTAAAAACAACCACATTACTTTTACTTGTATTAACATCTAAATTTAGGTAGCTAAAATGAGAATACAATTGTGAAAGGACATTGTTTAGTTTGGGTTCCAATGACGAAAGTTTAGAATCCTTTGCATAAATAACTAAGTCATCAGGGAACTGCAAATTCAAAATTGTAAAATCTCGCCCGAGTATTTCATTTAATCTATGAATATACAATATATACAATGAAGGGCTTAGAATTCCACCTTGACAAACTCCTTTGTGGGAAAGTCGAGGGCCATGTAAATTATTATTGATTTTTACGTAAACTTGTCGTCCATTAAGAAAGCTGAATAACCATTTAACCATCTTATATGGAATACCTAATCTAAATAGTGTGGTTGACAGAACAGATAAATTAACGTTATTAAAGGCACCAACTATGTCCAGGAATATACACACCGTTATATTGTTATCTTTTAGTGCATTTTGTATGTCAGTATGAAGACATCCTATACTTTCACGGGCAGATCGACCACGTCTGAATCCAAACTGGTTATTTGGTAGTAAATGATTACTTTCTATATAAAATTCAAGTCGGTGTTTCAATAATTGCTCGAATATTTTACCAATGCAAGAAGTTAAAGTTATAGGGCGATATGAGTCAGCACAAGCCTTGGGTTTATTTGGTTTAATGACAGGAATCAAACAATCTATCTTCCAGTTATCAGGAATTAAACTATTTTCCCAAAGGCCGTTAAATATGGCTAAGAGTTTTTTGATACTATTACAATTTAACTTTTTTAACATTTTGTATGATATAAAATCTAGGCCACAAGCTGTATCTTTTCTAAGTTTTATTGCAGCAGTTAATTCAGACAAAGTGAAAGGTGAAGTTAGGTAATCATTCGTACTATTAGTGATTTCGCAGGAATAAGAGTTCAATCGCAAATCTGAAGGAAAAGGTGCAGCTTCTACAAAATCAGGTGTGTATTTTCGTAAAAAGTCGTTTACCCAAGATGGAATTTCTTCTTCAATTTGAGGAATAAAGCTCCGGTTAAATTTACGCATAGTTTGCCAAATTTTAGATAGAGGAGATGATCTATTTATATCAGAACAGAATTCCTTCCAACTAGTAGTCCTTTCTTTTTTTATAATGATTTTTTTCTGTGCTTGCATTTTTTTAAAGTTGACATAATTTTCCTGCAATGGGTTGTTTTTAAATTTAATATAAGCTTCCTTACTATTTTGTACAGCTTTATTACACTTTTCATTCCACCAAGGGACAGCGAAATGTTTCCTTTTTCGAGTATGGGGATTAGGAAAAACAAAACGTTTATTCCTAGAAACACCTGGATTGTCACTGTCATTGTCAACGTCAACGTGAATTCTATGATTTTGATGATTGATTTTAGGAACTGATTTATGTAAAGCTGATGTTATTTTATTACAGAAACTATTGTAAGAAAATAAAGGATCGCTAGAACAAACAGAAAGACTTTTTAAAGTTTCGTTTGCTAATTGCGTGTAATCTTCCCAATTGACTAAACGGAAGTTAACATGAGAAGGGAGTTTGTGCATTTCAAAATTTTGTGGGGTTGACATAAGATTTGTGGTGGCAGCCGTTGAAGGGTTTATACTAATATGAATATGAGTTAACGTAGGTAAGTGGTAACTTCCTAGAGGGTCATCATTAACAAACCAGTCACAGTTCAATGCTATAACAGGACTCACCATTGTGAGATCTAAACCATTTGGTCTCCAAGTGTCAGTGCCAACAGTAGTTGCTTGTGCATCATTTAATAAGACCAAGTCACAATTATCTAAACTATCTAATAAATCTCTGCCTCGAGCATCCACCGTGTGGCAACCCCAAATGGTATGGTGAGCATTGAAGTCACCAGAAATATACATTGGCTTAGGTAATTCATTTATGAGGTTAGTGAACTTACTTATGTTAAATCTAGGTGTGCTATTACTTGGACAATATATAGAGACAATAGTTAATAGTTTATTGTTTATTTTAACTTGCACTGCTAGGTTTTGTATTGAATCATCAGAGTGTGTACTTAATCTATTATAATATAGTCTATTGCTAATGATGATGGCAACTCCATTGTGTTTGTTGCCACAATCATTACGTTCCACTGTATAACCTTTAATTTTGAAATGTATATGTGGTTTTAACCATGTCTCGGATATGACAGCTATATCAATATAGTTGTCATAAATGAACTTTGTAAGCAAATGCCGATTGCATGAAAGACTTTGTGCATTCCATTGCATCAACCTTAGCTGAGTGAATTTTGATTAGATTTGCTTTTGTTGCAAAGAGTTTCAGTTAGTACTTCCAATATATTTTTTGAGGAAATTGCTGTGCTTTTAGTTTTATTTAAAGTTATTAATTTAATTATTGTTTCCATGAGTATTTCCATTGATAGTGAATTTGAATTTAAAATAGTTAATAAGTTTTGGGGATCATTGTTTTTGACATTAGTGTGAGTAGTCTTAATTTCAGGAAAATTATTATTGTTAAATATACTTGCAAATGTAGGCGGCTGATGTTTATTTCTGTTTTCTTTAATTTTCTGTTGTTTTACTGGGCATTGTGATGAAATACTAATATGATTCCCATTACAGTGGGCACAAATGGCCTTTTCTTTAGGTACTGTACACTCTTTATAGTTATGATTATTGTTACAGATTGAACACTTTTCTGCATTTTTGCAATACTTTGAAATGTGACCATACCTCAAACACCTGTAGCATTGTTTAACTGGTGGTATATATGTTGTGATACTATGCCTCCATCCATCCAAATCAACGAAGTCAGGCAGATGAGAAGCAGCAAAAGTGATTGCAACTGTCTGTGTTGGCTGAAGGGAAAAACCAGAACCATCATTAAATACTTTTTTAAAGAAACGTCTTACGCTTATAATTTTTTTGAAGCTTGAAATTAATGTAAAAATTTTCTTATTGCTATATTTAGTAGAGACGTTTCTTATTATTCCGGTGATTTCTGCTGCTGAAGCTGGAATGTTTGCTTTTAAATTATTATCATGAAGAAAAGTTTTATTATTTAATAAAGCATTAGCCAAATTTGGTTTTTCAAAATAAACTCCAATTTTGTATTTATTAATTGAACGTAGATACTTTACTCCCTTTATGTATCGTCTAAGGCAATTTGACAGTGAAAGTAGATCCCTTGTGCCTATGGGTCTCTGAGTATCTGCTGACTCTACAAAGACCACATATTCTGTATTCATTGAATCTTCCTGGTATAGCCGGGTGTAGTCTGTGACGTAATACGGGACGCGAAGGCTCTCCTCCCCATCTTCATCAGAGTCTGAAGAGGTAGAGTCCACCTGGAGTCCATCGGGGTCATCTTTATCAGGTTCAGTTTTCTTTCGCTTCTTGCCCACTTTGTTCCTCCCCATTTTAGATTACCTATGTATTATTAAATAATAATAACTAATTTGCTTCCTTTGTTTTGACAAGAACCTTAAAAACCGAAATTAAATATAATAAAATTTAAAATTTCCGCCTTCACACTTCGAAGGTTCCCGCGCTTTTCCCCAAACTTGTCTGACTTCTTTTGTTCATGTCAAAGTTGACAGGATTTTTTTATTTATGACGATCATGGGCTACGTTCAAAACCTAAGCTTTGAGTGCAACTTTTTACCGATGTTTTAATTTTGACATATATGTACATAGACATAGTATCAAATGGACGGAGCATTTCACAAAAAAAGCGTGTGGCCATTTTTCTCACTGTGCCGCTGTCAATGAACATGTGTGGGTGTGAATTCATAGTATTACTTTTAACTCACTTTCATCTACCAACATTTTTGCAAACAAAATGCTTATCTTCAAAATCAAACAGTTGCCATGCCTCGCTGCATCCTACAGTTTAATGTTAAATCAAATCAAAAGGCTTTTTTGATTAATTATATCTAAGAGTTTAGTGTATAAAAAATCAAAATCTAATAGCTAGCAATATAATAAAATATTTATATTCCTCTTTTGAGTTAATGCTTTAAAGATATTTGGGTCATTTGACGCGCTATTTATAAAACAAATTTATTATTTGGATATTATTTATTAACTTTAACAATAAGTGTAATTTAGAAACAGGGTATACCAATGAAATAGAACTTATAAAACTAAACTAAAACAATTATAAGTAATTTATATTCATTAGTAAGCATGATGTCTGAAAATATATTGTACAAAGTTGGATATATTTAATAGGCTCCTAGTCCCCAGATATCAAATTAACAGCTTTGATCTGCTCATATTTCATATCGGCATCTTGAGAAATTAAAACAAATCGTTTATGTATAATAAACAAATTACTTTGGATTAAAACATCTAGTAGTTAAATGCTTAAAATAAAAATATACTACTGTTAATATCGTTAATCGATAGTCGATAAAACTATGTAAACAATAACAGTACAGCTCTAAAATACATATATTATTTATCATTGCGAATTTTGTACACAATTTTATTGGTATGTTAATGAATTTAATGCAATTGGGCTATGAAAATTTGTGACGTTAACTCTATAGACTCCAATGATTGTACAATTCTGATATTAAAATCCCAGTACATGTTAAAAAAAATACTATGACATGATTACGACTTACGCATGAAATGATAACACTGGTGTCGATTCTGGCATGATTCTCTAAATCTAAACTTAAATTTGACAACAGTGATGTCGATTCTGGCATGATTCTCTAAAGCTAAACTTAAATTTGACAACAGTGCATCCCTGTCATTCTCTATACAGAATGAAAAGGAGAGACTGATGTTAAATTTAGTTTTAAGTTTAGAGAATCACGCTAGAATCGACACCAGTGTATCCTTGTCATTCTCCATACAAAATGATCTTAAATTTAGTTTTAAGTTTAGATAATCATGCCAGAATCGATACCACTGATTTTTTATTCTTCCTTTTACTGTTCTTGATGAACAGAACACGGCATAATCATATAATTTTCACGCTCAACATTTGTGAAGATATTACTGGGCCACTCGTATGACATAATTAACACGAGATTTACACCGATACTCAGCATTGTCAAACCTACGTTAACTGCGGCGACTGCTCTTTCACTCATAGGTACACTCAACAGGTTAGACAAAAATGCATGGAAAACAGTTCTATCCGTCATTCAGGCTGTCAAACTTCTAGCTCCGTCTTATGATAATATGTCCAACTATGTCTATGTATGTCAAATAAATTTTAATGTATTGGATCATAACTCAAAATTCACGTTCATTGAAACTGGGGCGTAAGTTCTGAACGTAGCTATAGACTTAATTTTAAAACCGAAATTATAACTTATTAAATCTGTCAGACGTGTTGTCTTGTCTCATGTGAGACAGACATACATTTCCTGCATTATTAAGTTCTCTACGCACTATCAATCTTTTTTATGTTAAAAGGGTGGCAAGAGATGAGATAATAATAACATTAAATAATTAATAAAATGAAGATGTGGGATATGTTTTACGTGTGTAGTGCTGTCCCGCATGCTGTATCTAGCACAATCGACAATGGTGTCGATTCAGGCATGATTCTGCAAAGCTAATCTTGGACAACAGTGTAGCCTTGTCATTTTCCATTAGAATGAAAAAGAAAGACTGATGTCAAATTTCATTTTAAGTTAAGAGAATCATACCAGAATCGACATCACTATTCACTATTGAAACTAGCAGAATCGTAGTGTTAATATTTTAATCATTTACTTAAAGCATGCGTCTATGAATCATTTCAGCCAGCATCTTAGTTATTTTTTATCCAGTTCATTTTCTTAGCAAGTTTCAAATAAAATAAAATAACGTGGAATATAAAAATAATAATGAATCTAATTTCAAAAGTTGTGGGAATTAAGTAACCTTTGCTTTCTAAATCTATGAGAAAAATTATAACAAAAACAGGCTGTCAATGTCACTGTAGTCACTGTCATATAAAAGTCGAAATTCGGAATCTGAAATTCTGAATTTATTGCATAATTTCTATCAAGCAAGCTTATAAAATATTTTTAAACTGAAATAATTTGCCAGTTGATTTGTTGCAGCCGTCTCACTACTTTTCATTTACAAAAAATGTTTGCCACACGTCGAATTGGAAGTTTTATGTATTTTTTTTTCATATTTCGTTTAGTAGTAGGATACTTCGAACCGAAATTTTCTGAATAATTTCCTAATATTTCTATTTTTTTAGTCGTATTGCCGGTGCCTCACGCCAAAAACATACGCTGCCCGACCTTCCGTATGAATATAGTGCTCTAGAACCGGTGGTCAGCCGGGAAATAATGAGTCTTCATCATAGCAAGCATCATGCTACATACGTGAACAACTTGAACGCAGCTGAAGAAAAATTGGTCGATGCTCAGTCCAAAGGTTGTATTAATGAACTTTAGTGTATACCTTAAACAATACTTTTTGACTTTTGATTCCATTAGCACTTTTATGATCATAATGTTACAATATTTTGATTTCGCAGCAGCTGATACGCACACTATACTCGGTCTTCTAAGCACTATTAAATTCAATGGAGGAGGTCATGTGAATCATTCAATTTTGTGGCTCAACTTAAGTCCTTGCCCAACTGAAGCATCATGCTTATTACTGAATGCTATCGAGCAGTAATTTAATTTATTTTTACACAGTACCTGTTCTAAAAAAATTAGAGTACTTAATTAATTATTAGATTTTAATTATAGTATCAGCATTACCTATTATTTGTTTAGATTTTAGTCATTAATTTTGAATTGTTCATATTGAATTTACAGAAGAATTTTGGCATTGTTCATGTATTTATCTAGTGAAACACCATTGTTAGTTGACATTATCATTTATAGGTAATGTGAATATAGTAATAGGATTTAGAAAATAGTAAATTTTGGGCATTTGCTGCAGGTGACATCCAGACTGTGATTGGTCTGGCCCCAGCCCTCAAATTCAATGGAGGGGGTCACATCAACCATACCATTTTCTGGCAGAATCTCTCCCCTAATGGTGGTAAACCCTCAGATCAACTCGTCCAAGCAATCGAAAAGTAATCAAAATTCTAAATGTTTGGCTTGCTAAAAGCTTCTAATTGCATGAGGATAATAAGAGTAATGAGAAAATTGCTTGGCATGAAACACTTGAATTAAATTATGCTTTGTGTAACAAGAGTTGTACTGTGCTACCATAACAAAGATTAATTAATAAGACTATGTTTAAGTTGGAAGAAAATCAATGCTTAATATTTTTTTGTCCAGTGTTTAATCATTAAAACTGAATTTCCAATTTCCATCCACTAATTAATTTAACAATAGCAAATCACATTACAGTAAATCATTTTCTTTGATTTCAATGGTTGGTACTTGTAAACTAAACTAATTTTGTATTGTTTGTTTGTAACAATTATTGTTAAAGGTAAAAATTTATACATAAGCACAAGTTATTGACATAGCATGCATTGTGGAGTCATACTAATTTAATTATAAAATAAATAGATCAATTTCAACAATCAGTAAAAACTATAATGTTTTAAACCAAATTAATTTGAAAAAATTTCAGAGACTTTGGCTCGTTTGAAAACATGAAGAACCAATTGGCAGCTGCATCTGTGGGTGTGCAGGGTTCTGGTTGGGGATGGCTGGGCTACAACAAGCAGATGAAAAAGTTGCAGATTGCAACCTGCCAGAACCAAGATCCCCTGCAAGCTACCACTGGTCAGTTAATATATAAGCCATGTACAAATACATGAATAAAACCATGTTGATTGGGGCTGATAATTAGAAATCAGATAATCGGATGCAAATTTACTAAGTTTTTTTTGGCTAACAAATTATAGAAGAGGCTTTTTAGGATGAGATAGATGCCGGTTTTATCTTGTGGCATAGAAACTCTGAGCAGTTCCCGGGACTTGCGACTCAGGTGTAGGTTTAAGGAGGCCCCCTTTAAGATGTGCATCTATGCTCATGCATAAATTAACGGTTTTAGTTAGTTGTTGGTTAGATCTTAATATTTATTCAATTTTATTGTGTGGTCTTTTGGAATGTTACTTTCCCTCGGTGCAGTAAGCCCTACTAAATGTTTGTTGTACCTAGAAAAGAGGAATATGTCTGGCTTGGATGATGAAACACTAATATCCTCTGGTATTTTATAGTGCTTTTTATACGCATCTATTATTTAATTTTATTAAAAATAAAAGCCTGCGATTCCAGGATCGCATCACAAAACTAATCTGATGTATATTAGCTTGAAAGTTAAATTTTAATTTCCCATTCCAGTATGTATGTAAGGTGTAAGAGAAATGGTGGTGTGGTTAATATGAAAACATAAATGAATGTAAATTTATTAATTACTAGTGGCTCGCCCTCGTTTCGCTTCGGTGTAGAGCTGAAGTGTAGACTATAGTTTTTGTTCTAAGGCTTGTATTACACAATGACATTCTTCTTATACCTACAATAGGCACGCGCCACCAGGCCCCCCGCTCGGTAGCGTCGGAACCGCTATGTCCCTGCATTTTAAAATCTGTAATATCTTCGAAAATATTCATTTAAATTACATGCTTTAAATGGCCAAATTGGTCTGTATTAAATACACAATGTATATAAGGTACTTAATTGGTTAAGCATGAATGTTATATTGCTGAAAATCGCTTCGTAAATAAGCTATTATTTCTCGTAAAAAGTATAGAATAAAAAATGGTTATTGTGGGTTATCCCTAAGAGATAGACATATACCATCGCGGACTATTTTGTAGACCTTTTTAAGGTGTACAATACTGTAGTACATTATTTTGATCTATCTCGTATAGGGTTCAGCCAGCGTTTGCAATGTAGGCGCAAAAAAATGTGTTTCTTTACGAACTTACATTAAAAACCTCTAAAATTATCAGTGTTTCTCTACTATATTATGCATGTATTATACATATAAACCTTCCACTTGAATCACTCTATCTATTAAAAAAAAACCGCATCAAAATCCGTTGCGTAGTTTTAAAGATCTAAGCATACATAGGGACAGACAGCGGGAAGCGACTTTGCTTTATACTATGTAATGAAGGACATCTTGCATTATATTTTATAATAATAATAAACATTTATTTCAGGCGTAGTTTAGTTAACTTATATTACATACAGAAGTACAAAAACAATTGATAATCAAATGAAATATTTTTTATTTTATCAAACAAGACTACTGCCACTTTTGTTAATCTGGGTTTATTAGATCCAAGGATAAACATATATTTGAATATTCCAGAATCGCAAGATATTTTCGATAAAAAAGTGCTTTCCCTAACAGCCAATATTTCAATTTTAAGTTAATATGCATCCAATTATCAGATCTATACTGATAATGTAAAAATTTATTGCCACTTTTTCATATACAGCAAATTACCCTGTTGCACCATATGTTAAGTGTTACCAGGAGACCAGTTTTAAAGATTCGATTGAACTTGTCAGCTTCAACACAGATTGTGTATGTGTGTGTTAAAACTGTTATTTTATTAAAGTCTTCTGTAAGGTTACTTTCCCAGAAGGCTGAAATCTGCATTACCTATGCTTGAAATTAAGCAACAAAAGAAGAACATACAAACAACCTGTTCCGGCTTTGCATTGGGTATAATTTACTGATGTAGGGTTAAGATTTAAATATTGACGACCTCCATGGCCGAGTAGTTTGTACGCCGGGTTTCACGGTGTCGCCGACTCGAGAGGTCCCGGGTTCGAATCCCGGTGGGGGCAGATGTTTGTTTTGATGAATACGAGCATTTGTACTCCAGTCATGGATGTTTAATATGTCTTTCTATATAAATATGCCTATATATGTACAGTAGATGTATATATATTCTATCCGTTACCCTAGTATCCCATAACACAAGGCTTACTTTGGGGCTAGGCTAATTGGTGTGAGTGTTGGAAATATTTATTTATAGAAATACCATCCAAATCGTTGAATTATCTGATGATTTAAAAAAATCTTTTGTTATGAAAAGAACAATCCATACCAAATTAGTCGCGCCTTTTCGAGAGAGAATTGTATCTCTATTGATATTATTTAAAAATTATATTGATACTATTTAATATTGTATAGGAACAGAAAGAGTTCTATCCATTTTTAACATATAAATAGACTTGTTAAAGAGAGGGATACTGTTGCGGTGTTGCATAATGTTGCGTAAATAGCATTCGCTCGCCTGGAGCGTGTGGGCGACTGAACCAATTTTTATTGAGGAAACTACTTGTGCTATTAACAAAGGTTGAAAGAAAGATTTTGCATCAAACCTATGATTTCGCTTTGGTTAAATGTCTGTAGCCTAATGTGTCATAAAATAAGTTATTAAAAAAAACAAGCTTTTATTTATATAATAATTAAATGCAGATGTTACTTTATACAAATACTTTATACAAAAGAGATGATTACAAAATCATCTCAACAAACCCTTTCATTTGACACCTATATCACGGGTGCGTGCACAAAAAATAAGTATATATAGTTTAGTGTCTTTGCTAGTCCGTTATGGTAAGTGGGCCGTCCACCATATTGGATTTAAAATGTCGTCACTTAGCCAACCATGTATTGCCATTCAAATAGGCAAAATTTCATGTCAAATCAGTGAAGCACTGCTTTAACATTCAGTTGCAAGATTTGACCCAAACATACTTAAGGTAGTAACGGATTAGAGGCAGCATCAGGGTGGCTAGCCTCTCGAGCCCACCACACATGGCTCGTGTGGGAGCTGCCTCGGTAAATAATGAAAACTCGTCGAGCCACACGAAAGCGCGACATAAAAATAGCTAAAACCTAGCTCAAATCACGTTTACACCTGCGGGGCAAAAACACCGAGGCACTTTTGAGCAAAGTATAAAAACCGACACCTGATGATTCGCGCCGCGGCGGCCTCGCGTGTGTCACGCCTCGGGCTGAGGCGCGTACGCACTTGAGACAACAGGGCGAGTCACAGGTATCTCAGGGGGCATTCGCCTAACGGGATTGCTATGGCTATCGCTAGCGCTCAAGATTTCATGTTGTTATTTCTGACCTCCGAAGGTTTTCAAATGCCCCGTGCTCTTTGTTTTCTTTTGTTTTGTTAACAATAATATTCAGAAATAACCATAATGAAATCGTAAGCGATAGAAATAGCTATTCCATTAGGCGATTGACTCCCGGTCAGGCGAGGCTTCATTTAATCCGTATGCATCATTACAGCGCAAGATAAATAAAAGATAAATAAACCTATTTTATTTTTTCAGGTCTAGTCCCGTTATTCGGCATCGACGTTTGGGAACACGCTTACTACCTCCAGTACAAAAACGTGCGGGCTGACTATGTGAAAGCCATCTTTGACGTTGCCAACTGGAAAGACGTCTCTAGCAGATATGAGAATGCATTAAAGTAAAAATAATCTCAGCATTTATAGGATAAATAAAGTCTTTAATACCTTGCACGCACTGATCACACACGGTGATAGCTTGCGTTAGATTGTGATAATAAGTTATATAAATAAATACAGTATGCTTGTTTTAATAATATAGTTTAATTTTAAAACCTAAGTAAAATTGAAATAGAATAAGCAGCTAAGTAGGTACGTGCCAGTTTAAGATATCGGGCAATGAAGGGTTTCGTAGTTGCTCATCAGATCCGTCATCATCAGCAAAGAGCAAATCAGAGGCCCAACTACGAACTGTGACAGCTCGCTAATCGTATTGTTAACGATAGATTTTGTAGAAGCGAGTTTGTTCTTATTTCCGGTAGGGGGTATTGTCAGATTTTGATTTTATACAAACTAAAATATCTGATGATGCGATATGATAATGATACGATTATGAAGCTATCAATAGTCTGAATGTTCATGTTTGGGCATTTCAGAACACAAGCAGACCGAACAGCATCTTTTCCATTTAAGTATATGCTTGGAAAAAATGCTGTTTTGTAATTATTGAGAAAATGTTAGTTTATGGTTAATTTATTTGTAGATGTCTATAAATCTATGCCTACCTATAGTTTTCTAATACTATTTACGTACAGACAGACGAAAATGACGAAACTATAAGGGTTCCTTGTTGACTCGGAACCCTTAAACCAGAGGAGGTTCTTACGAGAATTCTAGCCTTTAAGGCGCTTTGCAGACCGCGGGGCGGAGCGGGCCGGTCAATTTCGCCGCGAACGATAGCACAATGTGAATCCTATACTACAAACGCACACAGAGGGCAAAAAGACATGCATGTCCGTGGCTGCCCGCCGTGGATCATACAAACCAGTTTATATGCAGTAACGCAGAGCGGCTAGCTCAGTCCGCGCCACGCGCGTCTAGTGATGGACTATTCACTAGAACCAGTGCTGTCATATCTACCAACTTTTTGGTAGATCTACCAATTTTCACTTCAGTCTACCTATCTACCACCCTACACTTTTTATAAGTCCATGCCCTACACCTAAAAACTACCTATTTTTTAATTAGTTTGACATATCACCACTTTGAATTATTTTTATATCAACGACCGACGTTGCGATGTATTGCGTGAGTCATGCAACGATGCGTCAAGCATACATAAAGTCCAGGTCAAAAACCACAAAAAAAACGTCAGCAACAGTTCGCCATGAATTCGGCGTTCGCACAATTTCGCGCCCATATTTTACTATTCCTACTGTGGCCTATTGTGGAATCAATGTTGAATCTTTGCTCCTGTTTTATTGTAAAAACTAATTAACTGCGTATTAACGGTGCTGATTTTTGTTTGTTCTATGTTACGTGGATTTATTTATATAATGGATTCTGACAGCAGCGAAAGCGATGCACATAGTTCTAGGTTAGGAACTCCGCCACGAAAACCTAGAAAGAGGCACTATGACCAAAAATATTCGAAATTATGGGAGAAAGACAAGGAATTTGCAGGTTGGCTTCAAGAAATTACTAAGGGTGACGGATATTTTTATTGCAAATCATGTAGGTGTGATCTGAAGCGTGCTCTGCATTGCATTGCATGCATTTTTAATCTAAAAAAATCTTCTAAATTGAGGTGGTAGATCTACCAATTTTGCATTTTACATTCTACCAACTTCTACCAACATTTGGCACATAATCTACTAATTTTCCAAAATTCGGGTTGGCAGCACTGCTGCCATATCTACCAACTTTTTGGTAGATCTACCAATTTTCACTTCAGTCTACCTATCTACCACCCTAGACCTAAAAACTACCTATTTTTTAATTAGTTTGACATATCACCACTTTGAATTATTTTTATATCGACGAGCGACGTTGCGATGTATTGCGTGAGCCATGCAAGGATGCGTCAAACATACATAGAGTCCAGGCCATAAACCACAAAAAAAAGCAACAGTTCGCCATGAATTCGGCGTTCGTACCATTTCGCGCCCATATTTTACTATTCCTACTATGGCCTATTCCCGGTTGGTTTGTTGCGGAATTAATGTTGAAACTTTGCTCCTGTTTTATTGTAAAAACTAATTAACTGCGTATTACCGGTGCTGATTGCTGTTTGTTCTATGTTGCGTGCATTTATTTATATAATGGATTCTGACAGCAGCGAAAGCGATGCACATAGTTCTAGGTTAGAAACTTCGCCACGAAAACCTAGAAAAAGGCACTATGACCAAAAATATTCGAAATTATGGAAGGAAGACAAGGAATTTGCAGGTTGGCTTTAAGAAATTACTAAGGGTGACGGATATTTTTATTGCAAATCATGTAGGTGTGATCTGAAGTGTGCTCTGCATTGCATTGCATGCATTTTGACGTGACAACGTCTTAAATTAGGTTGCGGCTGGGAGTCACTTATGAAAAAGTGTAACGCTCGGTAACGTTACGATGAGTCTCTCGTGTTAAGTTTAAGTTTACATGTACAATGTTTTAGTAAACAAAATATATTTCTATAGTTAAAATTTGTGCAATTCTTATTTTCATTCAATTCCTTGTTCCTATTGTGCAATTTAATTATATTCATATCAATAAATATTCTACCGAGAAAAAGACGTTGTCACGTAAAATCTTCGCCCGTAAAACCGACTTTACAGGCAACCATTTTTTTAATCTTAAAAAATCTTCTAAATTGAGGTGGTAGATCTACAAATTTTGCATTTTACATTCTACCAACTTCTACCAACATTTGGCACATAATCTACTAATTTTCTAAAATTCGGGTTGGCAGCACTGACTAGAACAAACGTCCTGAACTGACTGCCTCACCCGTCGTGTGCTTTGTGTACGCGGCAAGGGCAGCCGCAGACATCGACGGGCAGACGCGGTTTTTATTGCTTCGCGGACAAAAAGCCCGCCCAGCCCCGCGTCGTCTGCAAAGCGCCTAAGTTTTTAAAAACCTTAGGTATAATGCGATTCAAATAAGAACAGGAAAGCCAATGACCTCCATCTGTCAAATGTCGCTTGAAAAGTACGGCCTGCAAAAACAACTTGGAACCCTTTTTTAGCACTCCGCTAATTCAAGAATATAAACCAACATTCTTAAACAAACAATAACAAATATTGATAATTAATATCGATCAATATTTTTTTCACTTATTGAGTTTTGGCCATGAATGATTGATAACCTAAATCGTCAACCAAATATCACTTTAAGTTGCGTTCAGAAACTCGATTTCAAACTTTCGTTTACATAAAGGATGCATGTTTGTATATCACCTAGTAATAGTGCATGATTATTCATAACTACTCCGGCGGTAATGCAGAGATGAGCAGAATAGAAGAGCTAGATTCTGATTAATGTTTTGGTTATTTTTCTCAATCTTAGTAAATAAATGTTATAAAAAAAATCTGATGCTTTTTCTCACTTAATCTTAGTAAATAAGTTTTATTAAATAAAAACTTTTTTATGCTCACTCTACCTATTTGGTTTGAATTGACAGCTATGACATCATAATATGGCGCCCAGTCGGTCCTATTCTTAGTTGAATCGCATTATAGGTACGCATTTATCGAAGTAACCAATAATATTAAAAGTTAAGGCTTCATGATTAGCTAGTTTGTTTATACGTTCGGGAGGGGCGTTTCATAGAAAATTTTACGAAACCATACGATTGCTGTACCCTTAGCACGAACCATTTTTGAGCAAAATTTTAAAATGAAGTAAGTAGTAATGTAAAGAAAATTTTACTGGAATAATCCACTCGGTCTATAGGCGTCAGGCTGGAATTGGAGTCTATACGCCTTTCGCTATTGCTAACCGCCATGAAATAAAATAGGTATAAAATTAAAGCCATCTTTTTTTATCCTAAGCATTATTTGAGGTATAAAGCTTGAGAATTTACTTAAAAAAAATGGGTTAGCGGAGGTTACGGCTTCGAGTCCCATCTGCAGCATGCATACCGTGGATTTTTTATAAGTCAAATTTTCTCAAAAATTTGTTTATTTAAATTAGTCTAATTATAACTCTTAAATTTTTTTCTGTTCTTTGGACTTCTTTGTGAAGCACCTTGGAGAATCTATCTAGAAGGAAAGACAGTGACAAAAGGCCTACGAAATGAAGCTCTCGATGGCTCATTTTGTAAGAACAGCTGGGATGTATCAGCTCATGCAGCAGATGACAATCCTATTCATAGACCAAGAGTCCATGTAGAAAAATTTATATATATTTAATCAGTCCATAAATATTTAATTTAAATAAAAATTAGTATGTAATTTAGATAATGCTATAGAAACGAATTCGCTAAAGAATCAAAGACGTGAAGCGGAATGTAAATGTCATATCGTACAAACTGTCAAATCAGGTGATTGTGATTGTCACTGAGTAAGTGTCTAGGCAGATTCTGATTGTTGTTTGCTCTTCAATTTTGTGAAGAAAAGCATAATAAATAAGTCTATTTAAAGACTAATAATTTAGTGTTTTAGTTCGACAGCTGCGTCCTTCTTCCTGTTTCCAATGGTAAGTTATAAAACTTGAGCAGTCGAAAGAAAAAACGAATTATGTACGCCTACAAATCGCTCCTTGAAGTGTTATTGATTTTTCAGCGAACAAACGCTCTCGTCATAGTTTAGATAAAATGTATTTATTTCATTTGCCAATCGATACAGATCGTTAATGATCTAGACTTTTCAGGTGCCTATCTAATTTACTTTTTTAAGATAATATAAAGTTTGTGTGTGAAGGTTGTATTTACTATTTTGAAATTGATCGGTTATGCTTTGTGCGTATCTGGGTTTTGATTTCATTGTAATTAGTTACAAGGATAATAAATCAATTCAGAATACATTGAATTTTGTTGGATGTGAGTTAAGTTTAAGAGATACTCATTGTTATATTGGCATTAAACAGTTGTTTAAAGCCTATTTCTAGGATTTATTTTTTATCTTACATTTTTTTTAAACATTACTTCTACACAAGAGTAAAAAAAACATCAATCAATCAGTATCTGCCATTTCAGCTATTTTCATGACAAGACTTATCTTACACAAAACATCAGGATAGGATAGAGTACTTTGCTGCCCCTTTAAAAAAATCAAGTGCTTTTGCTTTATGTTGTGATCTTAATCAGCTCCCAGT